GCCCTCCACTGCCTGCTCAAGGCCTGACCACCCTTTTGGCTGCCTGACCCTGTGGGCTCTGAGAGAACTGGTGACAAGTGGACGGGATTCCGGCTGGCTTTGTTTCTTTAGCTCCCTTTGTGCCACCAGCAAAGGGGGCACCGGAAAAAGGCAGGCGGCCTTCTTGTGCTCTGCTGCCAGGCTGGGCGGAGGAACTGGGTCTGCAGGGCTGAGGGTCCGCCTCCCACTGGGGCTGTGCCAGGAGGGCGTGCGCTTGGGGGAGCCTGTCCTGTCGTGCGGAGCCTGATGCCCCAGAGGCAGGAGAGACACTGTGTTGGTACTGAGCCAGGCTCCAGCCTTCGGGACAGGGCCCAGGGGCTTTTCTAGGAGAGATGCAGGGCAGAGGACCCCGCATCCCCTGTGCGCCCCGCTGGTCATGCACAGGGGTCTCCACGGCACCTCATTCCCGAGGCCGGCACCAGCAGCCTTGGCTCTGGCTTTGGGAACGTGCTGGCCTCTCATGGATTGGTGACACCCGGTGGGGGGCAGGGGCATGTGAGTCAGGGAAGATACGGTTTCCCGTTCCTAATGCCAGGAGAGGTCAGAGGCCTTCACTGGTGCACGTGGTGGGGAGGAGGCATCTGGGTGGCCTTGACCTTTCCGTGGGGCAGGACCAGGGAGATGCTGGGTGTGTGGGGTGCTGGGGTTTGGAGGAACAGACAGGAAGTGTCAGCTCCTCTTCCACCACCTTGTGCCCTGCCCCAGGCCTCTGAGTACCTGCTAAGCCAGCAGATGCCAGCACTCAGCAGGCCGAAGTACTATCACAGCCTGGGCCGAGCGCTGTCCCCCCAGCCCACCCATGTGTGTTTTGCCCGGATGAGGTCCCAGGCCATGGACGCAGCTGCGCCTGTGTTCAGCCGTTGTACCAAGATGTTGGGCTTGGCACTGTGTCCCCAGCTTTGTGAAGTGGCTGCCATAGGACAGGGACCGGAAAGAGAGCCTTTGGTCCCTGAACATGTCCCCATCTACACAGGAAGAAGGTCCTGGGTTGGTGGGGGTCCTACCTTGCCTGTGGGCCATGAGTGCTGCCCCTGTGTCTGTCGCTGGCTCTGTTGTACCCTTAGTGAATTCACCAGCTGGTGCCGTGGCCTCGGAGAGGCTGGTGGGACAGAAACAAGCCTGTGTGGCTTAGAAATTCCTGCTCTTGTAGAACTCGGCTTGCATCTTGAGGCTGGAGAGATCTCCAGTCAGAACTGACCCCCCAGGCCATCTGACCCCCCAGGCCATGGCTGTCACCTGCCCGAGCCTGTCGGGCCCCAGCCCTGCTCACCAGTGTGTGTGGGACATGCTCACCCCTCCGTGGCCACACGGGGATGGCTGTGTTCCTGTCAGCGTCCTCAGACGGGGCAGCACCCTATCTGTTGGCTACTCCTATGTGTCTTTTCTGCGACCCTGGAAACAGCCGTGTGTCTGGGGTCCTGCTTTGTCTTGCCATCCACGCCAACAGGGTCCTTCCTGAAGCCTGTCCTGTTATGAGCATTTGTCACCTGTAGCTCTGAGCTGAGACCTGGTGGAAGGCGGCCCATGTGGCCGAGGCTCAGGAATGGCTCCCTGTGAGACAGCCTGGCTACTGTGACATGAACAGCTGCTCTTTGGAGCTAGACGTGGGGTGAAGGCTCCGCCTGGGTGAGCTCCCGAGCCTCTCAGCGTCACATGGTACTCCTGGGACACAGCTGCCTTGGGGACAGGTGGCCTGCCCCTCTGGAGGATGCCATCCCTAATGGCTCTCCTTTCTGGGCTCTCCCTACATCCGTGCCTGCTCAGCTGGGCACCCGGGGACTCGCTTATCTATTGCCTGCTCTTCCTCCAGAGGGCTGGCCTTTGCTTCTGTCCCTCCTTTATCACAGGTGTCCGGGACGTGCCAGGCCACCTGGGGCTCCTTTGCGGGCCTGTTGTAGGGATGACATATCCCACGTGGCCAGGCTGGCATGGCCTTGGGGCAGCAGGAACAGAAGGTGCTGGGAGAGCTCTACCTCTCTGGACGTCTGGGCTACACTGACCCATTCCCGCGGCTGCCAGGTGAAAAGGACAGATGTGAAGGCTGTGGAGCTGAGCACCGTTCACCGGGTCAGGTCTGACTGTGACTCAGCTGCAGCCTGGGGCTGTCCCATCCAAGGGCCACACACAGAGGGCACAACTGCCAGTCAGGCCGGTGGAAATGAGCCCTTCCTGTGCACCACAACCTGACCATCTCCCTGCCCGGATCAGGCCTGGCTCTGGCAGGCCCTTGAGGCTCAGGGCTGGCAGTGTTCTGTAGTTGCCTGCAAGGCTGCTGGTTTGGCCACGTGAGCTTCAGTCTCTCCAGTATGTGGCTTGTGCGTGGTGCCCAGGGCACAGTGGGCAGGATCAAGTGCCTTGCCCCCGTCTCCCAGCGGGTCTCTAGGCCCGTGTTCCCCATGCTGGATGCCACCTGCACGGGGTGGTCCCAGTCCACACTGAGGTATGGGGGCCTGGCCAGGGCAGGTGTGGCCAGAGGGGCCTGGTTTCCCTCCAGAGAACAGTCAGCTAGTGTCAGGCTGACCGCCCCGCGTCCATACCTGCAGTATCCTCAGCTCACAGGCCGGTCCTCTGCCTGCCGCTGCAGTGGTCAGCTGTTCCCTCAGGGGACACAGCACCTTGGACTGTGCCTGCTCCCCCTGCTGTGGGCAGCTGAGCAAAGCCCAGGGTTATTCCAGGCCTGCAAGGAGGAGAAAGGCCACACGGAGTTGCACGGCAATTTGTTCTGACACCAGTGCTGTTCTGTATCTCTGTTTCCAACACCACTATCATGCCCAGCTGTGGGGTGGGTGTGAGACAGTGTCCCCAGGCCTGGAGGAGGCAGGATCACACAGGGAAGACTGGATCCTGGGGCTAGGAGGTGGTGGAGCCTTCTTCCCAGAGTGAGAGGTCACCTGTCCTTGAGGCTGCTCCTCCTGCAGCACTGTGTCCAGCAGTGAGCGTGTCAGCACCCTCAGTGGCATCCCCGCAGCGTGCGGAATGGGAAACAAGGCCACTGAGGCAGTTCCTGACCCCCCCCAGGGACCTTCCCCCATGAGGCTGCAGGCCCCTGGACCAGATCCCTGCCCCCTGGGTCAAAAACTGGCCTGTGGCCTTGGAGGCCTCCATTGGGTGTTGGACTCCAAGGCTGTCACTTCTGGGAGCTGCTCCCTGAGAGCGGCTTTTGTGTGAGTCCTGCTACTCGGCACAGTCTCCCTCTCCGTGAGAGGATGGCAGAGCTGGGCCGAGCCACTGTCTCGCTGCTGGGCTCTGCCCAGGGTCCTCTGTACCAGGAGTGGCCCGGATCCTCACTTTGCTCCTGGCTGCTGGCCAGGGTGGAGAAGCAGAGGTGCTGGAGTGTGTTTACTCCCACCCGTGCATCTGCTCATCTGTCCATCGTCCATCCTTCCCTCCCTCCCTCCCCTCTGGCAGCTACATGGCAGACCCCAGGGAGGAAACCATACCAGGCTGTGGCTGGGTGACCAGTGACCTCTCCTGGCCCTCTCCCTAGCGACCTCCTGGTTGTTCATCGCACCGTGACGTGGTCCAGCGGGTTAGGGGGCAGCCAGTGTCCACAGGCCTTGTGAACGCCCCTGTGAGTCCGCGGCAGCAGAGAGGGAAAACGATGGGTGCCGGCCAGCTGTGGGGTGAGGGGCAGAGGTGGCCCAGACAGAGGCCCTCAGCCACCTCCCTGGCGTGTGGTGCTCCCTCCTCCCATGTCTGCAGTCCTCCCCGCCCTGTGGGAGCCCCCCAGCACCCTGCAGTGGCCCTGAGGACAGCAGCCACCAACTCCTCTGACCCCAGCAGCACCTAGTCTCTTTTCCGAGGCCCTGTTGCCTCTGCTGCAGCGCAGCCAGCTAGAGGATCCCTGGGGTCCACCTGGGTTCTGCAGGGGCTCCCGAGGCGGCATCGGGACCTGAAGGCCCAGCAGCTGTTGGGGAGGAGCACTGCCACCCAGCCAGGACTAAGGGTGGGGAAGTCTGTGGGAACAGAGGAGAGGCCACTGTGTGCTGGCTCTGGTCGCTGGCTGCAGAGGCAACAGGCTCTGTGTCACCATGGGGCTGGCCACATGCCTATGTTCCTCTCTGGGGACTCCTGCTCCGACTGTTGAGGCTCCTGATGGCCCCCACCTGCCTTCAGGCTGATTCCTGATCTCAGCTCCTTTTGCCCAGACAGCCCTGCCCGGGTTTCGTGTTTTAACACGGACTCACAAGCTATTTAACTAACGTGCGCTCATGGTCCAAGGTGTTCTGTGAACGCGTACTCAGGCCGTGTGCTGTTCTGCCAGGGTGCAGTGGTCCCTGCCGCCAGTGTTCAGTGTGCCACCCGGCTCCGCACACGGCCTGCGCTTACTAATTGGGGGGATTCCTGCTGTGGCTTTGGAGCTGCTGAGTTTCTCTCCTGTGTCTGCCCAGCACGTGTGTCAGGTTGTGACAAACGCCCTTGACCCCCTGCCACGAAGACCCCCCCCGCCTTCTGCCTTCCAGTCAGTGGTGTTGGTACCTGCCACTCCTCACTTCTTCCGGGGCTTGAGTCCCGCGTCCCCTTCCTGGGGAGACCTTCCAGGGGCACCCCCTGCCCTGGGCCCTGGGCTTCTCTCATTCAGGTTGCTCTCAGGCTCCCAGGAGGGGCCCTCGAGCCCACCAAATGTAGCCTGGGCTTGTGGTGACACCCGGACCAGCTCTGTGGGAGGCACTGCATGGGCCGTGGACCTGGGGTCTGGATCAAATGCTCGCGTGGACTTTGCACCCCCGTGAAGCACAGTAAAGCAGTCTTGTCCTTGCTTCCCCCAACCTTGTCTCAGCTGTGGAAGGGGAGCCCCAGTTAGCAGTTCCTGCTAGTGTGCACCCCAAAAGAGGGGCCTAAGGGGCAGCTGCCGTGCAGAGGGCAAAGTGGGGACAGCGTACGTGTGGCACGGGCTGGAGCCTCCGTCTGAGCCTGCCTGAGGGGACAGCCTGAGTGTTACCTGGCTGTGTCTCCCACAGAGGAGGAGCTCCGGAAGCTGAGGGAGGAAACCAACTCTGAGATGCTGAGGCAGGAGCTGGAGCGAGAGCGGCAGCGGCGGATGGAGCTGGAGCAGAAGATGCAGGAGGTGCTGAAGGCTAGGTAAGGCGCGTTGGCTGTTCGCAGCTGGTCAGGCCCTCACAGAAGGTGGCATGGTGGGCACAGGTGTGGGAGCGAGCAGTGTGGGAGGGCGAGGTCTCAGCTCGAGATGCAAGGCTGGCAAGGCGGGGTGCTGGTGGTAGCCAGGTCTATCCTCTAGCAGCCGTCTCGAGGGACCAGCCAGGGTCCACAAGCATCGTGCTAACCCCTCCCCTGGTGACCTGTGACCTCCTGCCAGACCCTCCCCCCCATAGCTCCTCACCCCACAAGACATCAGGCAGGACCCAGCATCCCACACATGGCCCCTTGGGGGCCAAGCCACATCATAGCCACACCAGGTCCTGCTTGGACCCCCACTCTGGGCCTGGCCCCATGAGTGAGGCTCTGTCTTCTCTGCTGAAACCAGGCATCCTGGGAACATTAGCCTGGTCTCTGAGGGCTCCCTAGTCCTGAGGGCTCCTGGGAGGCTCTGGGCTCCAGTCCTGCCTGAGTCTGTGCATGTCAGCCTTGGGAAGTGGCCCTCCAGCAGGGCTGAGTCTAGCATGGTTCCCATCACGCCCCAGGCTTGGGCATTGCCGCACCTCTGGGCACAGATGGGCAGGACTGGGATGGAGGGACTCCCCCAAAACCACCTCTGCCCCATTCTTGCCCCTCCAGCCAGGCTTCTGTGCCCTGCAGTCCCAGATCCCGCTGCCAGCCCACTGGCAACATCATACCCCTATTCTAGCAGTACCTTCTGCTTGGGTTGGCAGGGCCACCCAGTATCTGCAGGGGACATTCCTAGGTGATGTCAGTCCTTCTCCAGGAATCAGCTGCTCTGGGCATCAGGCTCCCCTGCCCCACCCCTCAGCCACTGCTGAGCCAGCTTGGCCTCTGGGGACAGCAGTAGGAAGCAGGTCACTTCAGAGCCGTGTTCTGAGTACACAGCAGCATGCTCTGACCCGGCAGGCCTCTGTCTGCACAGCGTGGGCCTTCACCGTGTCCCTGGCCTTCCTGCCTCAGCCTCCCTGGCTCCATCTTCACCCTCTACCACGCTTCAGCCCGAGGGAGTGGATCTCACAGTTTAGGGCACCGGCTGCCAGCCCGGGACCTCTGGCCAGGTCTTTGTCCATGTGGGTGGCAGGCTCCTGCGAGTTTGGCGCTGGATAGCAGCTCCCTTCTAGGCCACCTGTCATCTTCTGAGGGCGGTGCGGGGCACGAAGCCCGGGTGCCCATCCCCAGGGGCCTCCCACAAGGCCACATGCCCTGCGTGGGAGCAGTGGCCCGTCACCTCCTCTGCCCCTCTGGGCAGCTGGCCTCCTCCAGACCGCACACGGACACGGACACGCTCACACGCACGCACCTGCGCTCACACACACGCACATGCACGCACGCGCCGCACAGCGCCCCCTGGTGCTGACCTCTGTGAATCTGGACGAAGTTGGGGTTGGGTTACTTTCAATTATGCATCAGACATGGTGCGGCAGAGACTTGACCTGCGCCGGGAGGGCCTAGGGATGGACGGGCTGCTGCTGCCGCCTGCCCGGTGTCAGGGCCAGGTCTCACCCCATGGTGCTCCCCTGGCAGTCGGGTGCGGGCTGACCTCATCTGGACGCCGAGCGCCCCCTGCTGCCCGTGTCTCCAGCTGCACTCCACAGGTCCACAGGGAGGGTGGCTGGCCCTGCGTCAGTTTTGAGCGCACAGAGGGACGCGCTGGGGTGGACAGGCAAAGAGCAGCTAGGGTCTGGCCCAGGCAATAGAAGACTGTGACGGGCCCTCACACGAACACACACTCAGGCACGCACACGTCTACACATGCCACACAAACGTGCACTCGGTGCACGAACATCTGTGAACACAAGCGCGCGCGTACACACACACGAAGCCCCTAAAGCACGCGCGTGCACACGCACGCACGCACACAGCACAGCCCCTGAAGCTGAGGCGGGTGCCAGGATTAAAGCACAGTAATTACAGTCACGCAGAAATTCTGGTGTTTTAGTAAAGCCCCAAAGGAGTCCCTCATCCGGGGGCTGCCTGTCAGTAGACAAAGGTCCCTGCAGTCACGAGCACAAAGCCACATGACGACGTCGCCTTTGGTTCCAGCCAGCCCGTGCTGTGCTCACACCTGGCATCCGCCCCAAGCCTTCCTAGGGTTCTCTCCTCCCTGCGCCCGCAGCTAGGAAGGCTGGCACCAGACGGCACATAGGCGTCATGCAGAAGGGCTGTATGCAGGAAGAAGGCAGAGCTGGATGGTGACCATCCAGGCAGATGACCTCTGAGGGGGTGCCCCCAGGCCCATGTCGTGCTTTGGCCTGGCTGGATCAGGAGACCCCAGGTCCCTGGCCTTGTCCAGAGACCAGTCACATGCAGTGCACTCACTTGTGACTGTCCCAAGACTCCTAAGTTAGAGGCGCACGTTCCTTATCTGACCTGAGGGACTGACACAAAGTGATGTGGCTCTGAGCTACGTGGGCAAGCACACCCCCCACACCGCCCTGCTGCTCCCTTCAGTCTAGCACTGTCACGCCCTAGCGCTGCCCCAAGCCCTGCCCCAAGCCGGCCCTTCCTGTGGCCTGTGATGGGGACAGCCCCTTACCGTGTTTGGTGCTCCTGTGGAGGAATAAAGCCCTGGCCTGGACTCCTGCCCCCAGTCCCAATGCTTTCCATTAAGGTAGCGCTCATTACCAGCCAAACAAACGAGGCTTGGCCTCCAGCAGATGGGTGTGCCGGGAGTTGCCTGCCAGTGACCCTGTTGTGTTACGAGAGGTGAGACACACAGTAGCAGCCACTGCGCCTGCTGAGTTCATGTGTGTCCAGCGCTCGGTCCTCAGGACAAAGTCAGGCTGCGGCAGGAGCTGGCCTCCTGGTGCCCCGGTGCAGTGGTGCCTGCCAAGTCCTCAGGCCCCTCAGGGAGCACTGTGGTCCACCTTCTCAGCACAAGGGAGAACCCCCAGGGCCCCGTGCCTCCTGCACACCCTGGGCCTGAGCTTTTGCCCCCCAGCAAGTCCCCTTTGGTTGGTTGCTGCAGACATGGATGGCCATGCGTAGCCCCAGTCTAGTTTTGGGGACATGGATGTGGGCCCAGGCCAGCCCCTTCATAGCCTGGGCCCTTGCTTAGCCCCACCCGTGTCTTCTTGTGTTCTGGCTCCCAGAGGCTACAGCCTGCCCCCTGGGCAAGCGTCTAGAAAGTCTTTCTATGCTGTGCCGCTGCACAGTGTGGCAATCACAGGTTGTGGTGACAGGTTCTGAGCCCCCAAGGTGTTCATGGCACTGTTGGTGTGTGATCACGTGACGTGGCTGGAGCAGACAGTGCCTGTCCCTGGGTCCTCAGGACCTGGAGTTCTCGGCGGGGGGAGGGGCAGATGGGAGAGCTAAGGCTCCGCAGGAGGCGCAGCTGCCGGAGCGCCTGCACAGGCTCGAGGCCCAAGGACCAGGCTGGGCTGCCCAGAGCTCCACCCCCTCGCAGCTGAAAGGGGGTAATGGTCAGCATCCGGCAGGTGGACAGGGACCCTGGAAAGGGAGCCCAGGAAGACTCTTGGGGCAGCTGTGATCTGGATGTGGCACGCGAGGGACAGCAAGCCAGGCAGTGGCTGCCACGGCCTGGGAGGATCCAGGGCTCCTGCCTGCAGTGCTTGGTCAACAGGTGTGTGAGGCGCGATCACAAAGTGCAGTTAGTGTTTAGGGTTTTTAACACGTATGACGGTAAACACATGTGGCCACAGCTGCCCCCCGAAAGCCCCCTCGCTTTGAGCACACTCATCCCGCTGCCCTGGCCACGTCCTGCAGCAGCTCCAGAGCCCTCTTTCCTGAGGGTCTTCAGTTGCGCTGTCGTGGCCGCCTTGGTGTCCTGAATCAACTCAGAACGTTTCCTTTTCTTGGTCACTCTGACTCTGGAGAAGAGCCGGAAGTTGCCTGGGTGAGATATGATGAGTAAGGCGGGTGAGGGCTTGCGTCCGGTTTTCATGAGACTGATTTTTCCGGGATGGGTGCTGAGCAGCAGAATTCACCGGGTTCTGATCCCCTCTTGTAAACACGCGCCCCTTTTCCTCATTAGCCCTCTTGTGTTGGGGTGTGGCGTCTTTTCATAAGCAGAGCTGTGTGTTGACGGAGAAGCAACAGTGTTGGAATTAACAGGAAGGAAACACGTCACGTGGCTGTGTGGCGCTGTGGACTGGTTACCGAGAACAGACCCTGTGCTGCTGGGGAGTGTGGTTCCGTGTCACCTGGCCACTGTCACACCGGCCTAGGTGTCTTCCCGAGTCCCGAGCCAGTGGCTCTTCTGTAATTCCTGCACTTGGTCTCCATACACGCTGGAGCATGGCACGGTCTGTACTGACAGACATCTTGCCCCTTGTCCCCCTTTTTTTTTAAGAGTTGAGGAGCAGACTGTGCAGGCACAGCCGCCGCAGAGAGGGCAGAGCCAGGCCGGCAACGGAGCAGGTAGGTCCGTGGGTGTAGCGGGACCTGCTTCTGTCTCCTGAGTCCCTCATCCATCTGGGACCCTCCTCCCATCAGAGCTGGGTTGGCATCTGTCCCTACAAGCTGGTGTCATCGCAGCAAACTCGTGTCACTGGATGAGAAGATGCCCACACCTGCTCACAGGAACACACGGCACCGTCTCAGTTGCTCTGCGCTGGCCCTGCCTTCCAGAGGTGTCATCCCAGCGAGGGGACTGCATGGGCAGTGGGGCCATGGTGGGCTGGTCCCCAGGTTCCCACGGAAGGGACAGAACATTTATCTCGCCCCCTCCTCTCCTTCCCCATGCTGCACCCTTCCCCCAAACCCTCTGTAGCTATCCTTCAGAAGATGGGGTGTTAGGCTCCCCTCCCTGCATGATACCCCTCCCCACATACTGACCCTGCCTGAGGCCCTGCTTGCCCAAGCACTGCAAGGGGTCCTCCCAGTGCTTAGCCTGGCCTTTCCGGTGCACCCCTCGTCAGGGATGGCTTGGCTAGACCTGTGCAGCCTCCCGAGCCCTCTGGACATTGACCCACAGCCAGTGGCCCAGGCTTAGATGTAAAGTCCTTGGCCTGTCATTTTGGCCACCAAGCCAGGAGCAGCCGGAGACCGCCAAGGTCCCTGACCCTTGGTGATATCAAGGGCCAAAGAGGCTGGGGTGAAAGACACATCCCTGGGGTCCCCTTGCTTTCCCAGGCCAAGGTCCATTCTGATTGTTGGGCTGGCTTTCATGTGCGTGGCAGGGGGTTAGGGAGGGAAGAGGTGTGGCCCCCGCAGCAACCTTCAGGGAACACTGTGTGCCCCATGGGGTCAGGTGGGACCCCAAGCTGGAGACAGACCAACCAGGGCTTTGCATTTTCCTTGGGAGTTGCCTCTGAGGGGCCCAGCAGAAAGAGCCTTGGGGTCCTAGTTCTGCCTCATGCTTTTGGGGAGAACCTACTTCTGGGTCTAGGGTCAGCGACTGCCCCCAGTTGGCTTAACATTTTTAAAATGCTGTTCACACTTCTAAAGGGGGAGTTGACAAGTGAGCCCTGATGAATCTGAAATCCCAGGGTCCACAGTGGTCCCCTGCGAGCCCCTGACCCCCAGTCCTTGGCATGCGAGGCCCCTGGGCTCGCCCTTGCCTGGTGCACACCTGCCCTGAGCCCACAGCGCAGCTGGTTGGGTTTTCTTTAATTTTTAATTGACACTCAATAGTTGTGCGTGTTGACGGCGCACGGGTGTCTGGTGACCACCATCCACCCCTCTGACTCATGGTGGGATGGCGCCCCCTGCAGTCCTCCTGAGCTGCTCCTGAGAGACCTTCCAGCAGGCACCCTGGCACTCGGCCTTTGCTGTGAGATCCCCCACCCAGATCCTGAGAACCTGGGACAATGAGCCCGGCAGACTCCTTGCCACTTCCACCCCGCCCTGCAGAGCGCCGCAGCCAGGGGCTGTGCCCCCGCGTTCAGAAGTGGTTCTACGAGAGGTTCGGGGAGTACCTGGAAGATTTCCGCTTTCAGCCTGAGGAGAACACTGTGGAGACTGAGGAGCCCCTCAGTGCTCGCAGGTGAGGCACCAGTCTGGGGGACAGCGGGTAGGGGAGGGCTCGCCCTCAGAGCCTGGGCCCTGGGGTGAAGTCACACAGGCAGTGAGGCCCCTACAGGCCCCAGTACATCCTCCTTGGCAGTGGAACCACAGCCTGCCCATGCTAGCTGTGTGGTTTGTGACAGGTGTCACCCGGACACGTGTCCAGCAGGGGCCCTGCCCAGGGCCTTCCCACCCCGGTTGGCTGAGGGGCTTGCACATCTGGGTGGGCGTTCTGTGTTGGATGTGCTGCTTCCCGCCTTAGGACATGCCCACGTGTGACAGTCCAGGCACCTGGGGGTCCCGGGCACTCGGCATCCTCCTGCTCCATGTGTGGCGGTGGGGCATGAGTCCGTTGTGGGTGACCTAACAGTGCACATCTCTCCTCTCTCAGGCTAACGGAGAACATGAGACGGCTGAGTAAGCGCGGCCCTGGTGCAGTGTGGTGGGTGGGACGAGCCCCCTGGCCCCAGGAAATCCCGACACTGCCCACTGTGGGCCTGGGCATGGGGAAGACGGTTTCTCCCTACAGTGAGCACGCTCAGAGCTGCGCTGACCCCTGCAATCTGCTCTGCTCCCAGAGCGCGGTGCCAAGCCTGTCACCAACTTCGTGAGGAACCTCTCCGCCTTGTCCGACTGGTACTCCGTCTACACCTCCGCCATCGCCTTCACAGTGAGTGGCTCCTTGGAGCTGGGGGTCGGACACTCTGTCCTCTGGGTGGGGTAGCCCCAGCTGGACAGGACCTGTGGTCCCTCACTTTTATAGAGAAAATACACAAGTCGCAGGATCAGGAAGGGGGAAAGTGTGGCTCCAGACCCTGGGTGGGACATGTTCCCTTGTCCCTGCATGGCCTTGGAGGTGACCTCAGCCTCCCGGCATACTCGCCATGATTTGCCGGAGCCCGCCAGCAGGCAGCAGCTGCACAGCACCTGTCCTCTGGGACCTGAGGCTGTAGGATCTAGAGAGCCTGAAGGACTCATGGTGGCGTGGAGGATCCAGCCTGGCCCCAGTGAGCCACCTGTCTGGGGAGAGGCAAGGGGACATCAGGCTGGCATCAGTGGTGACCCTGCCTCCTGCCCACGTGTCTCAGTTTCCTCCGGTGTGAGGAGGGGTGGCTCTACAGCCTGGGAGCTTGAAGGTCTCTCTGCCCAGCCGTGCAGACCACGAATGGAGGGTGGGGTTCCTGGTGTCCCTGGAGAGGCACTGTGGCTATCCCAGACCTCAGTGTCCGCCTTGGAGATGGTGCTTTTCACACTCCCTGGGGAAGCTGTGGGGTGGAGGGCCTTCACCCCGGCTTTGCTCCCCGAGTCCTCCCTGGTTAGGGTCTACACACCCGTCCCACCTGTGCCTGGGCCCTAAGAGACGAGCCCCTCCGTTCTGACCCTCCATTCTGGCCCTTGCTCTGTGCCCACAGTTCTGGGTCTGTCATCCAGGGTGTGGGAGCCAGGGGGCAGGCAGGGAGCCCGCATGGGCCCCCAACCTGCGTCTGGTGGCCTCCGTGTGCCACACCCCTAAAAGCACCTCCTCCTCCACCCCCAGGGCAGCCCCTTTGCACTGCCTCAGGGACCCATCTCCCCACTGAACGCTGCCTGATGTTGGGGACTGGAGGGACACCGCTGCCCCAGCTGGGCGGCCTGACGCATCCTCTCCCCTCAGGTGTACATGAACGCCGTGTGGCACGGCTGGGCCATCCCTATGTTTCTGTTCCTAGCTATTCTGAGGCTGTCTCTCAATTACCTCATCGCCAGGTAGGTGGCCGGGTTTCGGCCCTGTTGAGCTGTTGTCCTGCCTCATGCAGCTTGGTGACACAGGATGCCACACGTTGGCATCTGGGGGCGGGAGGGTCTTCCCCAGCTCGGGGATGGCAACAGCTGACCGCCCTACTTTGTGGCTCAGGCTGTTCCCCAAAGTCAAAAGGACCTTGACAGGAAAACGGTCTGCCTCAGCTCAGGACATCCACGATAGCCAACTAAAGCCCCTCTTAGGACAGAGGACTTCCAGGGCTGCCTCAGAAAGTGGCAAGAATGACGGGATAAGGGTACTGAAGGCAGGGGAGGATTTCGAGGGAGATCTGTGGCAGTGTCTTTTACTGTAATAAATTTTTTAAAATTAAACATTCACAGTATTTTTAATTTTTATTTTTTATTATTTTTATTTTTTATTTTATTTAGTATTTTCAATCATTCTGTATACTTTTTAAAATTTTCCTCCAGTGCTGAGGGTTGAATCTAGGGCCTTAAAGGTGCTAGGCTGAGGTAAGGGGGGACCTGTGACTGCTTCTGTCCTTTGGGCCTTCCTCTGCCCCTGTCCCTGGCTGCTGTTAGATAGGCGGGCAACCGGCATGGGCTTGTGGCCCATGGCATGGTCTGGGAGCCCTTCTTTGCTGTCACAGGGTGAGGGGCCCCTGGTTGGATGTGCGCCACTGTGTTGTCCCCCAAACTCAGCCACTCACAGGCAACACTGGGGTAAAGGCTGTTGTGGTTTCTCTCTGTCAGGGGCTGGCGGATACAGTGGAGCATCGTACCAGAAGTGTCCGAAGCTGTGGTGAGTCCTGGGGAGGGGACGGCAAAGGGCCCCTCATCTGTCCCCACTGGGCCAGGCCTCTAGCCAGATGAGCACCCTGCCCTCGGGGGGAGATGCCCTGAGCCCTGGGCTGTGCACTCTGGCCCCGCCTGTCCTGCCTGTACACAGCCCACTGTGGGCGGGGATGTAAGGAGGGAGCTGGGCAAGTAGATATATACCCTCCGGGACCTGGAGCCTAGCTCTGGCCCACTGCCTGGTTTGGCGATAAAACTTCATTGACACTCAGCCGTGCCTGCTAATAGGAGCCTGGTTTTCCAATAAAGCTTTGTTGGTACTCATCTACGCCTCTCATTTACATGCTGCCTTTAGCAGTATGGTGCGGAAGCTGGCTGTCCGGGAGGCTCAAACCTGGGTGTGGCAGAGGAAGAGTGGGTGCCTCCCAGGGACTGGGTCTGTGGCTGCCCAGCTTGGGGACCCAGTGGCCTTAGGGGGGTCTCGACTTGCTGCTGCCCAGGGCCTGAGTGGAGGCAGTGGTGAAGGGAGCTGGAAGAGAAGGTTAGGGTGTCCCCAAAGGATTCCCTTGCCTGCTGGCCGCAGAGTGACCTCCAGTCCCCAGGGCTGGGAGCCTCCTTGCTGTTTTATCAGTAATTTCTCTAAACTGTTAAATTTCAGTAGAAAATTCTCTTTCCCCTTTAAAGGAACCTCCAAAAGAAGACCTGACTGTGTCTGAGAAGTTCCAGCTGGTGCTGGATGTCGCCCAGAAAGCCCAGGTGCTGCTTCAGGCTCTGGCGACACTGGGCGTGCGGCGGCACCCACACCCGGGCCGGGCGGGAGGACGCGGGCCTGTGACATGGTCATGGTGACTTGGACCTGAGATGGCCGGGGAGGACCATGGGTGGGCTCTGGCAGCCGCAGGCTGTGCGTTCCTGGGCCCGAGGCCCCCCTGGATATCTGGAGTGGCCGACAGGCCCACGACTGTGGTCCTTCTTCACACAGAACCTCTTTGGCAAGATGGCCGACATCCTGGAAAAGATCAAGAAGTGAGTGGAGTGGCCCCCCACCCTCGGGTCGGCGCCGGGCCTGCCTGACCCCCGTCCCTCCCTTCCAGCCTGTTCATGTGGGTGCAGCCCGAGACCACGCAGAAGCTGTACATCGCGCTGTGGGCCGCCTTCCTGGCCTCCTGCTTCTTCCCCTACCGCCTGGTGGGGCTTGCTGTGGGTAAGGGGCGCTGGGCTCGGCAGGGCTGGGGCGGGTGGTGGCAGAGCCTGCTGTGCTGCACACCTGCCGGGGTGAGGCCGGCTGCACCCGAGCTCACGTTTAGGTGTGGGGCAGTGGGCCACCAATTCTAGACACGACGGCGCCTTCTTTCCTCTTTCTGTTTTCCTGCCTTCCACCCTCCCTCCCCCTTTTCCTGCCCTCCCTTTGTTCTGTACTGGTGATTGAACCCAGGACCCTCACACCGAGCCACCTCTCTAGCTCGCTGGTTTTTTATTATGAGACAGTCTGAGTCACCAGGTCACCTAGGCAGGGCTCCAACTTGTGGCCCTCTCACCTCAGCCTGCTAGAATTCAAGCTGTCAGCAGACCTCACTAGGAAGCTGGCTTTTCCAATGGAGCCTGAGCTTTCCCAGGAAGGGGCTGGCCTGTGTGCAGGCAGCTGGCATCTGTCCTGGGGCTGGGTCAGGGCTGCGGAAACCTGGGTGCCTCTGCTCGGGTGCCTCGGGCCCAGTGGCAGCTGAGGAGTTAGTGGTGCGAGGTCAAGGGTCACGTCCGCCTGAATCCTTTCCTGGTTCAAGGTCAGGGACAGAGGGGCGTGTACATCCTTCGCTCCCCTTCTCGCCGCCGTGGGAACTGTGGTCAGCGGGAGGTGGCTGGGCTGTGGCTCCAGCACACGGGTGCTTGGTGGGAGCCTGAGAGCAGGGAGAGGGACACGGAGAGGGCCTCCTGCACGGGCACAGGCTCAGACTGGTCCCACGCCGTCCAAGGCGAGCAGAGCTTGTGACGCGCTTAGAATGTGGGCAGGAGACAGCGCTGGTACCTAGGAGATGCTGCCCTGGCCTCCCCACTCCTTGGTGGGAAACCCTGGGGCTGGGGCGTTTCCGAGTGGCAGCCTGGAACAGCACACTCCCTGAGGACACGTCCTTGCTGCCCAGCAGGTCTGTGTGCTACTTCCTGTCTCATAGCTTTGCGCGTTCCTTTCATACCACTCAGGCTGTTCATTAACTTCCCCAGCTAGCGGGTCAGGCGTGGGTGTGGCCCGAGGTGGGAGAAGGTGTGGGCTGATCTGGGAGGTGGGTGTGGTTTGGGGTGTGGGCGGGGCCTAGACAAGACTGGGCGTGGCCTGACGGGGAGAGGGTGTGGCCTATGGAAGGGGTGGGCTGATCTGGGGAAGTGGGTGTGGTCTGGGAGCATGGGCGGGGCCTAGGCAGGACTGGGCGTGGTCTGATGGGGAGAGGGTGTGGCCTATGGTAGGGGCGGGCTGATCTGGGGAAGTGGGTATGGCCTGGGAGAAGTGGGCAGGGCCGGGGTAGGAGAGAGCAGGGCACTGTTGTGGAGCCCTGGGACCCCTTTAAAGGCAGTGCTCCGGATAAGCAAAAGGATGGGCTAGGTGCAGGCAGGGAGTGAGAGGCACTCTGAGGGCTTTCCCTGACCTGCAGGGCAGTGATGGTCTGTGTCCAGGTCCAGTGCCACAAGGAAGGCTGAAGGGGCATCAGTCATTTGATTCCCACATGGCAAGGTGTGTGGGGTGTGGTTGCCTGGCCACAGGTCTGTGTGCACAGGGCACAGGTGGGGTGGCATTTCAGATTTGGGGGCTAGTGAGCCTCTAGAACAGTGAGGCTGGTTTGGGACGAGGCACTTTGCGGGGGCTGGGCTCTCAGAAGCACTGGCTGCACTGTGGCCTGCAGTAGGGAGGTTCCGAGACAGGAAGGAGGCAGCCTGGGGCAACCTGCAGTGGGTGTGAGACAGGTGTAGGAAGGGGCCGCCCCCCTGGGAAGAGTCTGAAATATGTGGTATTGGGAGGCTGGGGTGAGACATCAGAGCCCTAAGAAGGGGGACACCCCTTAAAACCAGGATCCCCGTTAGACAAGGCCAGGTGTCAAGCCGGGGGAGTCTGCAGGAGTTGGGGCCTCAGGAGCACAGGAGGAAGAGGGCTGGTCCAGACCAGGCGCTAGGGAAGTACAGAGAGGGAGGGTCATTGTCACTCTGGCTGCTGCCTGGGGCCCACACAGTGCTTTCCGCAGTGCTCCAGGCCCTGACTGTGGCAGCGAACTGGCGCTGAGTGGGGGCCACCCACCCAGGACCCTGACTGTGTGGACACTGCGTCCATCCACTTTTGGCCTCAGGGTCCTGACTGGTCCTCGGTCTCTCCTTAGGCTCTTCCTCCCCTCTTGCCCAGGAGACCAGGGCTGGTGGACAGCATGATTTTGGATGTCAGGGCCATGAGGACAGGTCCCCCAGAGGCTTCCACATGCCACCTCGGGTGGCAGCTCATGGTTTTCCCTGGTCGCCTGTCTTCTGAGATGGCTTCTGTTTTGGTCTGAGCCTGCCAGGGTGCCCTGCCCAGTGCTGGCCCCACCAAGGCACATGTCAGTCCCAGGCTGGGCTTAAGGTCCCTCAGAGATGCCAGCCCTGTCTGCCCTGTGGGTCTGAAGGAGCCCTCCAGGAGCAGGTGCTGGAGCAGGGGCCTGACCTCTGGTCAGAGTGGATGGGGTTGGGGCTGCAGGTGTGGGGCTGACCTCTGTTCCCCCTGCAGGGCTCTATGCCGGTGTCAAGTTTTTCCTCATTGATTTCATCTTCAAACGCTGCCCACGGCTACGAGCCAAGTATGACACGCCCTACATCATCTGGCGGAGCCTCCCCACTGACCCCCAGCTGAAGGAGCGCGCAGGTGCCACTGTGTCACGAAGGGTGAGCATCCCGGGGGCCCCGCCCCTTCGGGGTTCCTTGTTCCTGTGCTCATTCACAGGCTGATGCTTCTCTGGGGACAGCAGTGGCAGTGTCCCTTGCATGGACTTGCGGTGTCCCCCAAAGCCTTCAGAGACCCTCTTGAAGAAACCCCAACCCCACTGAGAACAGCCATGGTGGTGTGTGGCTGTGCCTGCCGAGAGCTAGTGGCTGGGATGGGGAGATCCTGGGCAAGCCACCACACGAGTGCGACCACTGTCCTAAATGGTGGCCCTTGGAAATTGAGGCCAGACAGCACATAAGTGGGTACCAAGGATGGTTCAGGTCCTTCTGAGCAGGCTTGCAGGATGGATGGGCCTGGGGGCCCTCCTCGGAGTCCCTGAGGTGAAGACAAGCATCCCAAGCCAGCACCACATCAAGGAAGTCTCAAAGGGCTTCCCAGAGAGGTCCGGCAGAATCTCTTCATGGGCCTAGCCTAAGGAGAAGGTGGCCTACCACTCCACGCCTCTGTCAGCAGAGCAAAGCTCTGGGACGGGTTGGACGCGCTTGGGCCCCTGGACCACAAAGCTTTTGGGCAGTGAGACTGCCCAGCCAGGAGGAGCTCCCTGGCCAGCCTGCAGCTCTGATCCTGAGGTGGCATCACTGGGGCATGCAGAGGCAGGCAGCCTGGGCCTTTGGTCCCGGGGAGCTGGGATAGGGCCCCTCCTGGGGCTCAGGACCACTCAGTGCTAATGCTTAGGCGAGTGAGGGGGTGAGCACGGGCTACCTTGTGGGGTGGAGGTTATGCCCCCCCAGGTGCATGAAGACCTGCAGGTCTATGCCAGGCTCTGCTCAGGGTCCTGTGCTTGTGACCCTGGGTCACGCACTCCCTGTTTTTCTTTTGTGGCGGTCACGTGTCTGTGGTCTCCTGGCCAGCTGTCAGGGCATGACAAGGTGCAGTGACCGTGTGGAGTCCTGTTGTCCTGCTGTGACCCGATGCTGTGCGTTGCTGTGTGGTGACTAGTTCCGAGGTTGCTGTTGTGGCCAGTTTAGGTCCTGACAAGTGAATTTTCCCGCAGAACACGCGCTGGCAGCCCATCCTCAGGCTGCGTTCTGGGGAGCACTGCGAGCCATCCCTGGAGGGAGGTCCCCACCCGTCCCGGGGGCAGTGGGACTCAGCGCAGGGCTGGCTGTGCCGGGGGCTAGGGACAGCTGCACTGCCCGCTGGGGGTGGTCGAGCCTCTCGCTGGCCCAAGTCCGCAGCAGAGGTTGGCAGGGGGCCCGGACGACCCCACCCACTCCCGTGGCCAGCAGCTCCTCCCCGAGCCTGACGACGCTGTGTGCTGTTGGCAGCTTCAGACGGCCACATCGCGGAGCTGCGTGTCCAGTGCGCCTGCCGGCCTCAGCAAGGACGAGGACACCGGTCGCTTCCACAGCTCCAAGAAGGGCAACTTCCATGAAATCTTCAACTTGACTGAAAATGAGCGCCCGCTCGCAGGTGTGTGTGTGATGAGGGTGTGGCCCTCTTGGCCCTGGTCCTCAGGGTGATGGCACCCCCATGACAGGTCAGGCAGCCCACGGGGTCTTCCCAAGGGTGGCACATAGGAACCGAGACCTGGTGAAGCCCGGGGGCGACCCTATGGGGAGGCGACATCCCTATGCTGCTTTGTCCACAGCAGAACCCGACAGTGTCTGCCCCAGGCAGAAGCAGGCAGTGGGAGCCCTGCGCTGGTATCAGGGCTGAGGTGCAGGCCGGAATCCCGCCCACTATGCGGGCCCTACCCAGCCTCTGTACACACGAAGGCTGTCCGGTGACATGGGCCTTGGGAGCTGGGTCTCCTTGCAGACCGGGGCCAGGCGCAGCCACTTCGCCCAGGCCCTGCTCTTTCCGGCACCTCCTCCTGCAGGTCTGTGGCACTGGAAGCCGGGGCTGCCTGTGATTTCTTTGCTTCCACTATTCACAGTGACTGCAGTTGAAGCCCAAGGGCGGCTCCCCGGCACCCTCAGCCACCCTGTGCCCGAGGCCCACCCTCCTCTCTCTGTGGACCAGGAGCCCTTGCTGCTAAGTTGGCAGCCCCACTCACCACCAAGTGCACTGCGCCCAGCACTCACTGTGCATTTTTTCTGCTGGTCCCAGTGGACGTGGGTGTGTGGTGCTGAGAGCCAGTGGGCACCCGGTCCCTCCAGGGACAGGCCCTTGCAGCAGGAGGGAATTTCAAGCCGGGTTTCTCCCCTCAGTGTGTGAGAATGGCTGGCGCTGCTGCCTGATAAACCGAGACCGGAAGATGCCTACAGACTACATCAGGAACGGGGTGCTGTATGTGACGGAGAAGTGAGTGGGACAGGGTCTCCAGGCGGGCTGAGGTGGTAGGAGGTGCAGGAGGGTCCTCGCTAGGAGGGAAGGCCTGAGTCCTTGCTCTGCAAACAGCTTTGCCTGTTCTCTGCTAGCCAGGCTGTGATGCTGCCCCTCGCTGCCCTCACCCCCAGGGCTGGGACATGGGCTCTGTCTGTCTCCCACATGCAGCAGTTCGGCTGAGGCCTCAACTCCCTCTGGTCATGGAAGGGACTGGCCCAGGGACTCCTGCGTCCCCAGCCTGGGTGACACCCTTGGGCCAAGCACAGATCAGGGCTCTGCAGCCTCGGCAGTGTGGCCCTCATGGGCAAGAAGGGGGTCTCTGATGCCCCCGGGCCTGAGCAGGGCACCCACGAGGCTCAAGGCTGGATCATGTCCTGTGTTTCCTCCGCATCTAGCTACTTATGCTTTGAGAGCTCCAAATCTGGGTCTTCAAAGAGGAACAAAGTCATCAAACTGGTGGATATCACAGACATCCAGAAGGTGGGTCTCTGTCCCCGAGTTCCTGTTACCCCTTCTAGTAGGGGCTTCTGTCTGGGGATGCAAGCCCTGCGGGGTGCTCTCGGCCTCACCTTTGGGAAGTCTCGGCTGAGCCTCTCAGTCCTGTCCAGCTCTCCGTGGTGCTCGGCCACCCCTGCTCAGCCTTGACCCCCGTGGTCAGTGCCTGCCCCGCCCCCAGCCCTACAGTAGGCAGGGAGGGGGCCTTGAGGTGCCTGCAGTGCAGCTGGAAAGGAGCACCTGTGCCTGCTCTGACCATGCTGCCACTGCCCCATCTCTGCCACCCTGGAAGAGCAGAGCTCTGCCCTGGGCACAGATTCAAGGGGTGCACATGGATGGAAGTTGCCTCGAAGGTCAGCATGGGCGTGTACAGTGCCCAGGGTGGAGGGCTCACTGTCTGGGACAGAAGAGGGTCGGGACGAGCCCACAGTGCGCCACTCGCCTCTTCACAGCTCCAGGCACCTGGCCAGGGACACCTGCCAGGTGTGGGTCTCTTGTCCATGTGTTCGGCTCCCACCCCATGGCTGTCATAGCGACTATAGCCAGTGGGAAGCTGTCCAGTAGAGAGGAGAGCCTCAGGGTGGCTGCCAACTGGGAGTGGAGTCTGGACCCGCCAGTGCACGGTTCCCGTGGCTCCTGCCTCCCAGGCTCCAAGCTCCCACTTCTCAGCCGAGTCAGGAGACACCTGCAGGCCCCTGTCCTCTGGCTCGGTGTGGCTGGCCACCTGCGTCTCACCATCAGCGCACTGGTGGAGGTGGCGCCCTGCGCGGGGCAGTCGTGACCCGCCATTGTCTTTCAGTACAAGGTCCTGTCCGTCCTCCCGGGCTCGGGCATGGGTATCGCTGTGTCCACACCATCAGCCCAGAAAGTAAGTGGCAAGTGGGCAGCTGCGCTGGGCCGGCCGGGTGGGGGAGGGGCTGCACTCTGGCCGGAGCTGGGATAGGTGTGGCGTCAGTCCAGGCAGGGAGCTGCGCACTGCCGCATCCAGTCTGTCCAGTGATTGCAGCCCTAGGGGCCCATGGAATCACGGGGCACTCGGGAAGAGGTGCTGAGCATGGAGCCCAGGGTCCCCAGCTCTTGCCTCGGTTTCTCCAAGCCTTCAGGGTGGGACCCTGCCCAGCTGATTGGTGCTAGGCCCAGGGGGTCACTGTCTTGGCCACAGCCTGGCTGGGGGCCGAGCACTCACAGATAGCGCTTGCTCCCAGCCACTGGTGTTCGGCGCCATGGTGCACAGAGACGAGGCCTTCGAGACCATTTTTAGCCAGTATGTGAAGATCACGTCTGCAGCAGCCTCGGGCGGAGACAGCTAGTACCTACCACCCCTGGGCGCTGCTGGCATCTTGTGACCCTCGGTGTGGACGGAGCGGGCTCCTCACGACCTTCTGCAATAATTCCCTACCTGTGGTTTCTGCTGGGTTGGCCACATTGTCAGAGCCCGTAGCCCAGCGGCTGGGGCCCACGAGGAGGTGCCCTGCCCCTGACGGGCACAGGTGGCACTTCATGGGCATGGCTGGGCAGAGGGGCTGCAGGGCTCATCAGAGCATGGGCCTACTAAGCACAGCACTCATTGTCCAGCCCGCCTGGGTACTGACTGGCACAGACCACCCCGGGAAGCTCTCCTGACCTGTGACTCCTGCTTAGCAGAGGTCCAATGCTCCCCACCAAAGCCATCGATGAGTGTGTCCATGTCCCCTCCCACTGGAGGAAGGAAGGAGTGGCCCTGGGCCCTGCACTAGTTGGCCAGATGTGGCCTCCCTCGAGGTGACCTACAGCTGCGCTTGTCTTCGGAGCTCCAGGCTGGCCCAAGGGCAGGGCTGTCCTAGTGAGAGCCGTGAGGCTGGGTTCAGGGGCCTCCCTCACCACTGTGGTAGGTGAAGCTGGAGGCCTGTGATTGTGGACAGGAAGGGCAGGATGGCCCCAGGGTAGGAGCACGTCTCCCTGACACTGCTCCTCGGAGAGGCCTGGGGGCGTCAGGAGGGCTGCGGGGTGCTGGGCTGTGGCTGCTCTCAGGTGAAAATTGGGCTGGACTTGGCCTCCATACGGCAGCCACACAAGTAGGCACAGGCCAGGGTGGCCAGGGCTTCGTGGCCCACAGAGGCCCAGGCTGCAGGTGCCCTCCCTGCCTATAGGGCCATCAGGAGCCCCTGGGAGAACCGTCTTCCGTTGAGGGTGGCCGTGAGCGCATCCTGGTGTGGGGCGGCGCTGCCCAGCACTGACTGACAGTATTCCCCGGCCGGGCGCGCAGAAGCTCCAGGCTGGCACAGACCACCCCGGGCCGCCCCACCCCAGGGCAGCGCACACTGGCTGGGGTGGGCTCTGGCTGGCTGAGAGGTGGCCGGAGGGTGCATCTCCTGGGCTTCGGTTATCCAGGGACACGGCCCACACGTGGATTTGAAGCGAAGCCGGCGCTGAGTCCTGGGGCAGGCTGAGGCTCCGGAGGACGTGGCCACACGCAGTCCACATGCTTTCGGAGCAGTCTCTCCAGTTCATCAGCTTGTCCCGGGTCTTTCAGGTGTCTCTAAGATTGTTTTTTGAAGAAACAGATTATATTTTTTACAGAGAGCAAGCTGTTTTTCTTATTTTTGTATCATTTTTCAAATGTAATTTTTACCTTTGCTCTGAATCCTCATTGGCTGGCTCTGGAGTGAGCCCTGGGGCGTGGCTGGTGACACCCTCTGGGGGTGTAGGATCAAAGCTGGTATGGGGACAGTGCCCAGCCAGGCTGGCCAAGCACGCGGGCCACGCTGGGCTGCACAGGTGTGGTCCCCACCCCGCCACTGCTGTTGGAAGCAGTGCCCTGGGGCTGGCTCTGCTAGCTGTAGACCCAGCTCTCCAGCACACTGGTCGGCGGGGCCTGGGAGGACCCCAGGGGAGGCAGGGTGGGCTGGGCTGTCCCAGGGGTGGCCATGTGGGTGGTCCCCGTGAGTGATGGTCAGACTTCTCTGGCCCTGGCAGTGCCCAGGGTGGGTGCCAGGATCATGTGGGCAGGAAGCACTTCCAACGACACTGCAGTGCTGTGCCCAAGTGTGTGGGGAAGGCCTGAGCGGACAGGGCTTCCTCGCAGACCGCGTGGCTTAGTCTGAGGCCCTTTCTCGGAGAAGGGCGATGAACACTGGCCACGGCCTGCTGGGTGCAGCCACCTGGTGTGGGGAGGCCAGCGCCACCCCAGGTCGCACAGGCCCGGGCACCCCGCGCGGTCCCTGGGCTCGTCAGAACCCACTGTCCTGTGGAGTAGAAGTCTGGACAGATATTTAACTTCCGTGACTAATTACTGAACTTGAACGAATGTTAACTTTTGTATGTCTGAGACTTGAGACTATTTTGGATCTGTACATAATCGTTCCTGGTGTTAACTTTTGTTCAACAAAAGGATTGTACTGTATGGAGAATTGATGGGGCAAAGACCCTCATCACATTTTTTAAGAAATCCTTGTTTAAAGAAAAAGTCTTGTATAAATTATAATTTTTATTTAAATAAACCTAAAATGCTTTGTGCTACAACTCAGCCCTCAGCTTTCTTGTCAGGCTGTGGGCGGCTGGAGCAGGTTGGCAGTGCCCAGGCCCCACGGGACCCCCATATCCTTTGCTCCTCAGAGGCCAGGTGCTGCAGGGCAGGGTGGGCTGTGAGGAGCTGGATGGGGCTGGGACAGGGCTTGGCCCGGCAGTCGCGATGTCCTGCCTCTCAGGTCACTGGGCAGAGGGATGCAGGACTCGCTGGGAATGAGCACAGGCTGTGTGGGCACACTGAGTACCTGTGAGCCCCCAAGAGGCAGAGACCTGTCCCACCTCGGGAAGGGAGCTGGAGCCAAGGGGAGACCTCGGGCGCAGCCAAGTGGCAGGACATCTGCACATCCCATCAGTCTGCTCATCCTGCACTGATGCACCTGTCCATCCTCCACCCACCCACCCACCTCCACCCCATCCGTCCTGTCCACTCGTCCACCGACCCAACCAGCCATAGCAGGCACTGTCCTCCTCACTAGGATACAGCAGAGATGAGACAAAGTCCTTTGGAAACTGGCAGACACACCCTCAGCCCCTCCAGTGGTCTTGCTGTGCCCACATGCCACCGCCCGGCCCCTTTGGCCTGCCTTCAGGCATGCCTTCCTGTACTTGCTCTCAGCCCAGTGGCTGTACAACTGCTGGGTACCACAGCCAGATTCAGGCCCAGCCCTGCTTGGCTCTGCACCTGTTCCCAAGGGGCGGGGCAGAGTGGCACGATGCAGGCCTTCGGCAGGTGGCCCTTGGCGGGTCTCGTGCCTGTCCCCCAGTGCTGTGCTGGCTGGAGACCCACTGGGCCCGGGCAGCGGCCCTCAGACCAGCTGCAGAGCCTTCAACATCCCACTTGCCCTTGGAAACTTTAATCCCTGAGCAAAGCAGCCAGCACTGCCTTGGATCTGACCACGGTGGCAGCCATCGGGGGAGCCGGGCTTCAGGCCACAGAAGCTGCAGTGACACATTGGCTCACTTTGTTCTTGTTTGCTAAACTGTGTCTTCTGAACAATATTCTGCTTTGAAAACATGAATTTGTTGAAGAAAAATGCTAAATTCTGCCCAAAGTAACTTTATTTTTGTCTTCCCAAACATATCAGAGCAAATACATTATTTTCTAATCTTGAAACCAGCAAGATTAGCGACGCGGAGCCCCCTCCCCCAGCGCTTCCAGAACAGGAGCCAGAGTGGAGAACCACCAGTGGGGCATGCGTGAGCGCCAGCCATACAGGGCAGCCCCCACGGGCTGTCCCACCCCTGCCTGCCTCCACACCCCAGCACAGCGTTGGGGCTGTTGCTCTCTAAGGCCCCGGGCCGTCCCGGTGCAGTGCAGGAATGTCAGCGAGGCCCGGCTCTGGGCCGGGGCAGACGGTCACGAGGAACCTGAAACAGTTCAAACACTGATTTTTGAGCCTTGGGCTGGAAAGATGCTCCAGAGCGTCTTGTGCGGAGGTCCTTGGTCCAAGGTGACACCACCAGGATGCTGGGACACCCTGAGGGTAGCAGGCGGTGGGCCATAGGCTCAGGTGGGACTCCAGGAGTGCGTGTCCCGAGTGTGCCTGGCCTGCTGCCCACTGGCACAGAGCGCCCTGCCCCACAAGGAACCGCCAGCGAGACACGGTCTCTCCCAGCAGGAGCAGGCGTGCGTGGGAGCGGCACTGTGTGCACGCTTCCCACCAAGGGTCTTCACCATCACCTGTCACTGTCGCCTCACACGATTGCCTGGCAAAATGTCCATTTAGAAGCCACCTTGAAAGCTGCCTTTTTGTCTGGGTAGGACTGAGTGACAAAATAGGAAATTTCATATAGGCTTTTAAAATACAAATCAATGCAAGAAATTCTAAAAATAGCTGCTGTCTGTCGAGTGCTACGGCAACTAAGGGAGCCATGTGGACGCTGACCCTGCAGCCACCTGGGCAAGGCCCCGTGGGCAACAGCCTCTGCCCACATGGGGCAAGTTTAAGCAGCACATTCTTTTTTTTGTTTTGTTTTAAGCAAATAATTATTTTTCACAAACAGATCCGGAACTCAGGCAAGCTGGACCCTCAGCAAGAGAAAGCAGAGGCAGCTCCCAAGGGAGGCCAGACTCCCCAGCCACGCGGCCGGCCCTGCTGGGCACCCTGGCTGCTGCGCCAAGTCCTGGGAGGGCACAGGGTCCCAGCTCAAGCACCGTCCCTTGTGCTCCCAGAAACCAGCCATGACCTTGGACCTCCCTCCCAAGGTGACCCACAGGATGTCACTTCCAGGGCTTTCTTGGAGCTTCTGCTGTGAACGGAGGTGATCTAGATGACGGGGAGAGGGAGAAGGCCTCTCTCTGGGCTGTGGTAGCTGCCCAAGTCACATACACCACGTCCCCAAGGGCTCCAACGTCTAGGACACAATCCTCGGGGCCACCAGCATAGGAGGAGGACCTCACGTGGACCAAGCACTCTGCGTGTCCCAGGCACAGCTGGGAATCGGCAGAGGAGCAAAACTAGAAGCTACAGAAAGGAAAACTATGGAAATGGTCAACCTCGAGGTCTTCGGGCTTAGCCTCATAGAGCAGCAGCTCAGATAGGAGTTTTCAGATGAACAAAGAACGCAGAGACATTCAAAGACCAGCGGTGCGAAGACCAACGGCACCTGTCCCGGCACGCAGTGAATACACCGAGGCCAAGCTGCCGCAGTTAGCCGTAATCTCGAGGCTCGAAGACAAGATCCCCAGCACTTCCGGCTCCCTGTGGGAATACTGGGACCCAGAGATTGGTGTTTCAAGTCTTTACGCCTGGCCACATGGCGCCCACAGTGCCCCAGCCTGCCTCCCTCCACCCAGCGCTGGGCAAGGGGTCAGCTGTGCGTGGCAGCGGGAGCAGACAGCAGAAGGAAGCGGCTCCTCCTGACCTGCGTGGCGGAGAAGGAGCGCACAGCCAAGCCCAGCCCCGACTTTCACAAACAAACCTGAATCAGGTTTCCAAACCCCACCCCTGCCCCGGCGGCCCCACCCCCGGAAGAGCGAGCGAGCTGCAGCCGCCTGGGTAGGAATCCTTGGGCCTCTGTTTTCCGTTTTCTCTAATTAGGTTTCCAAGCCAGGGATCCTCTGGGCTTAAGCAGCACATTCTTGTATTTCAAATAAAACTATTCCTGTACATCCTACTGACACAGCCTGAAAGGAGAGGAGAGAGGAGCCCCGCGCCGCGAGGCTGGGAAGCCTGGGCCCTACGCAAGGCTCAGCAGGAAGCCAGCATCCCCGGAGGGCAGAGACAAGACAAAGCAGACACTGCTATGCTCTTTGGATCAACTAGGACACTTCCAACAAATAAACAGAACTGAGAACTCTGGGCTGCAGGAGAGGGGTCAGGGCCTTGCCCAGCAACCCTGCTGGGAGGGGCGGGGCCTAGCTGTGAAGTCACCTCCCCACTCCACAAACTTCCTGTCCAGGGCCAGCTGCGTCGTTCACTCCACAGCGCAGCCGGGGCACCACACTGTTTACGCGAGGCATCGGGATTCAGCCTGCCTGGACAGACGGCCATCCGCAGAGCCACGCCTGGAGAGCGGAGCAGAGGCCGCTCCCTGCGGGACTGTACACAGTTGCTGCTGCCGCCTCTGCGCTGAAGGCCGGCGTGGAGAGCTAAAGATCACATGTCACCCTGTGCTGCTCAGTGGCAGGGGCTCTCAGAGCGCCACTGTACGCAAGACCATGCTGCGTGAGGGCTGCACCGCAGGGTGAGGACCACTTGGCAACACCCTGATCACAGCGGAGGATGGACATAAAGAGGGACCAGAGACTCGCCAGCACGCGCTCACACGCGGCTCCAGGAAGAGCTCTGTGCAGCGGGCCACGAGAAGGCGGTGGTTACCTGATGTCCACAGGGGGTGACCTGATTTTTGGATAGCGTCCATATTATAATGTCTAAAATTATTGCAATAGAGCCGCTAGAGGGCTGTTTCGACCTGTGTGATTGGGACTGTTAAAATCTAAGAAGCCAACGCCCCCAAATCAGCAAGTGCTGAGCGCAGAGTCAGTTACGTGAGACACAGCCCAGGTTCCCAGGGACTTCAGATGACAGACGGACAAAACTGTTGACAAGGTGCTGTTCCTAAAACCAAGATTTACCTATCAAAAATAAATTTCTAAATGTAAATGTTCATGTCCACATAATTGGTCTGCAGTAAATCTCTGAAATGATGTTCCCATTTCCTGGGCGTGAGGTGGATGACAGGTAGCGGCCCCTCAGCTGTCTGCTCCCTGCTTGGGGTTCTCCTCGATCCCGCGCGCGAAGAGCCGGACCAGCTGGCAGTGGACCCTGCAGAGACGAAGCACCACGCCTCAGCTCCCTGGGCTCCATGTTCAAAGCTGCCTCCTGCAGCTCCACGGGGTGCGGTGGCCCCTCCACACCAGGGAGACACCAAACTCCAGCCCACTGGCAAGCCCTCTGCACATACAGCTGCCTGCCTCAGTTTCCCCTCAGCACCAAGCCCGCTGGGCCCTGGGGAGCGATGCAGGCCAAGTGCACACACGAAGGACACGGGCAGGGGACAAGCGGCCCGTTTCCAGGAGGAACCCAGGAGCCAAGACAGAGGAGCGGGTCAGGCCCAGGCCTGCTGGGCTGCAGTGCGGGCTGCAGCCACAGCGCCCCCTTTCTGTGCCGGCTCACTGCCCATATCCCAGAAGCACAAGCCCTCAAGAGTACCTTTCTTCACTTGAAAGCCTGCTATCTCTTCAGAAAGTAAATAAGCAAGAATTAAAAAATAACGTCATGAGCCAGGTGTGGTAGTGCAGGCCTATCATCCCAGCACTGAGGGAGGCTGTGGCAGGAGGGTCACAAGTTCCAGTCCCACCCGGGCAACTTAGTAAGACCGCCTTGAAATAAGAAGAGGATGTAGCTCAGCTGAATAGCACCCCCAGGCCCAATCCGCAGTACCACAAAATAATAGTGATAAACTGATTTCCCAAACTTGTAAAATGAGTCTGAAAAGATAGGTCTGATGGGTACTGTGGTTGGCCTGGGGGTTTCCTAGGCTTCTGAAGACCTTGGGGTGCTGTGTGCTCCTCATGTGGCCAGAGGAAGGGGAGCACGTAGACCTCAGACTTGAGGAGCCCCAGGGGCCGCTTGCCTCTGTCTGCATCATTTGGGTGCTAGTGAAGAAAGCCTCAAACCCGGGGCTGTCACCTGTCAGACACAGGAGTGATAGCGACGTGCCAATGGCTGAGACATCAGGGGCCCACCGCTTCCGGCCAGGCTTCCTGGGTGGGCGCCCTCACCAGGAGCGCCTTGACCTCAGACCCTGCTAGGGCCCAGGCCCTGCCAGAGCTGCACACTGCTCCCCAGGCTGAGGCTCTCACCCCACACCTGACTCACAGCCCCCGCTGCTGGGGCCTCTCCACGCGAGGGAGCCTTCGCCAAGTAGGGTCCATCTGGGTGGGCATCAGGAGTGGTGGCACTGCAGGCTGCCACGATCGAGCTCTGGTTCAGGGAAGACAAACTCCCGCACCACAGGGGAACCACAAGAGCAGGCCTGGTGATCTGGGGGCATGGGGCTTGGGGTTCCGCACTAGCCTGGTACACTGGCCCAGAGGGGCTCTGCACTGCCCTCTGACATATGAGGTGGCTGAGTGCATGGCTCCCGCCTCTTGGGGCTCATCCCTTCTGTACCACCTCAGCTCCTGAGGGCCCCTGGCTTCAGGGCCTTGGCACCTCAAGTGTCCCCTCTGCCTCCAGGGGTCACCACCTTCCTCCGTGTCCCAAGCAGGATCAGACACCAGGCCTGCTGGTGGGTTCGGGGGACAGGAAGCCTGCATAGATGGGCTGTTGGCTTGGAATTCAGCAACACAGAAAGAGTGGCAGGATGGACACAACAACAGCCTGGGCACGGCGAGGAAAAAGAGCAGAACAGGGGCTGCACGCCTCAGCATGGCATCTGGGAAACCCGATGCACCCCGACTCCACAGCCTGCCTCTTCCCAAACCTAGCAAGATCACTGCGCTTACAGCAACGCCGTGCCTGGCTGGGACGGGGCTCAGGGAGCCGGGTGGTGCCTGCAGCCTGTTCCAGGGCCCCGCTCACCTGACCTCGATGGACGGGCTGTGGAGCACCTCCCCGTCACAGTTCCAAGAGCTGCCGCTGGCTGGGCAGCAGCACGAGGGGCTGTCAGTGCAAATCTGCCCAAAGCGCTGCTTGCCCCGCTCTGCCAGGTCGCTGTCTGCGTCCTCCACGTGCTTCGAGGTGAACTGGAATCTCTTGACGCGGTAAACTTCAACGAACGTGAAGTCAAACTGCAGAGACAGGGTGCAAAGGGAGGCTGACCCCGGGGACCGTCGCCTGCCCGCTCTGTACTGGGGCGGTCATTGCCAGCGGGCAGCACCCAGAGCCACCCAGGCAGTGGCGGCAGGACGAGGGAGGAGGCGCCGTCCTCCCAGGCCGCACACAACACCAGCCCCAGCACGTCTCAGGAGTTCTGGTGATCAGCAGGGACCTGCACAGTTCTCTGCTTTTTCAAAAAGCTACACTATAAATAAATAAATAAATAAATAAATAAATAAATAAATAAGTTGGGGGCCAGGGAGATGGCTCAGTAGAATAAGTGCTTGCCTAGCAAGCACAAGGGCCTGAGTTCAATCCCTGGTTCCGCCAAAAAAAAAAAAGCATAAATAGGGGCTGGTGAGATGGCTCAGTGGTCTAAGCACCTACTTAGAACAAGCTTAGCAAAGCACAGGGACCGCGGTTCAATCCCCCAGCACCACATGCCAGCCAGCCCCGCCCCCTGGTGGGCTGAGCTGGACACACACACACACACACACACACACACACACACACAAATAAATAAAATTTTTTTAAAAAGCATAAATAAATGAATAGTAAATAAAAAAGCTACATAAACACCCTGAGCAAGGACCTAGATATAATCTAAGTTAAAATATATTTTTGCTAAATGTAGAGACTATGACAGATATAGTTGTTTATCTATGAGACTTCCAGACATCCCAGTTGTTTATCTGATGAGACTCGGGTCCTCTCTGAGTGGACAAAGGGGTGACAGAAGGATGGGATGGAGTCCAGACAGAGCCCACTTCTGATCTACAGGTGCGGCGCTCCCCACCCGTGCTATTGTCGCACAGGAAGAGCCAGGGCAGGGAGGAAGGTAAGGCGAGGCAGTCACAGCCCTTGCTCTCTGTGCACGGGATTTCTGTCTTTTGGGGACAGGGTCTCAGTGTGTAGTTGGGGCCAATCCTGAACTCAAGGCAATCCTGCCTCAGCCTCCCAGTGTGGAGACCACAGGAGTGCACCGCAACGCCTCGCTAGATTTATCCCGGCTAATGGATTTTGACAAGCAGTAAAGTGGGGCCAGTTTTAGTTCTAGTGATAGACACCAAGCGATCCCTCCCCCGCCCAGAAAATCCATGCTCCCTACACCACCTGAGTTGGCAGCGCCCACGCAGAGGAGACCCAGGGAGCTCACCTGGTCATACCGGTTCGTGTGCCTCACAAGGAACCTCAGGAAGTCGAACCGGGAGCACTTCCGGATGAGAATGAGATCAGAAGACCCGTCTCCTAGGTGCGCAGCTGGGGACAGGCCGCCCGGACTCCGTGGACAGGCACAGGACATGTTGGTGGCATTGATGGCCAGGAACTTCCCGCAGATGACCTGCCACTCCTCCATCTCCTCTGAAGCGGAGAGGAAGCAGGTGGACGTCACGGCCAGCGACGGGGCCACGGTACCGCCCAGATGGGCAGAAGCCCCCTCCTCGCTCTGTACTCCGCTCTCAGCTCTCTCGGACCTGACCCTCAGCAGCCCCAGGCCAGGCGGGGGTACCCAGTGTCACGCCCACGGAGTCACCTCCTGGAAGGCTCAACTGTGCTCCCTGCTCCTCCCAGGGGACAGCGGTTCAGAACTGGGGTCAGCAACCCTTGGTCTGTGTGCAACAGTCCCGGAGCCTGGGCGGACTCCCACAGCTTTAAATATCTGAAGATCAAAACAATACTTTGCACGAAGACTGCACGGAATCTGAGTTTCCTGCCCACAGCTGAGCTCTGGAGGGCAGGGAGCCAGGCCTGCTTGGCCAGACACTGCTGCAGGCCCGGGGGCCCCTCAGGCAGGCACAGCCTCAGGAGCAGCTCGGTGAGGCTCCCTGGCTGCAGGAGCCCAGCTCCTGGCCACGCTGACTGCAGCGGCTGGGCACAGGCTGCAGGGCTTTGCACAGGAATCCACGTCAGCCAGATTCACTGAGTGACAGTGACCCACTGCTGCCCAGAGCTGGACCAAAAATGGACACAGCAACAGAGAGAAAGCAGAGGTGGACGGCACATGAAGAGCCCAGCTCACACAGAGGCGTCCGCGGGAATTACCGGTGTTTTCCAAGCCATAGAGAGCCTTCTTTTGTTCCTCCTCCAGCTGGCGCCTGCTCTGCCTGCACACAAAGCATCTGGAAGACAAGAACCGGGGCACCTTCCTCTGATGAGCGCGCCTGGACGAAGGCCCACACCTGCCTGTGCAAAGGTCCTCCAATGCCCGTCATGTAGTGGACAGTTCCATTCAAAGGCTTAGGTAAAATATCCCTTTAGCATACACATTTGAAATTTCCAAATTTAGATCTACTTTTAAAATCACACCCATGAATCACCATGTCTTTCTCTGAAGCTTATAAACACTGTGTGTCACCCGAGGCCACCTGCACAGGACCCAGAGCTCCTGGCTGGCACGCAAGTCCTTCCGGGTAACCTGGACTGAAGGGGTGCCTGTTCCCAGCAGCCCCACTTGGGACACTTACAACGCGGCCATAAGCAGGAGCGGTGTCCTCTGTGCATCCCGCCGGGTCCCACCCAGCATGACCAGCCTTGCACTAGTCCCCAGATGCAGCATGGGATGCTCTGATTTATGAGCATCCTCCCGTGCTGCCTTTGAGGAGCAAGGATGTGGGACCAGGAAAGGACAGGCCGTGTCCTCCAGGCGTCACACCTATCTCCAGGTCGCAAGCCAGCCATGGGGGGCTGGGACCCTGACAGTCACTGACGTGGCCACACAGACTGGATGACAGGGTGGTTATGGCCATTCTCAAGGGATCGGATGGCCTGGCTCTGTGCCGTGTGCAGCGTGCTCCCTGATGCACGAGCGTGTGCCTGATGTGCACAGATGGGGAGCCCGCAGCATGCCAGCCGGGAGGGGCCCGGCCGCCAGCTCTGCCCTGGGCACCTGGACCCAACACTGGGGCTGGCCACACCCTCCTGCCCTTCTGAGGGGCCCAAGGGCCTGGGCCTGGGCCTCCTGACCACAGCTGAGTCCTGTCTGGGCAGAGGCAAGGCGGGCAAGGGACTCGGCTGGGAGGGCTTGGGGGCAGGATCACTGCCGCAGGACAGGCCTGGCCTCAAGTGTTGACAGAGCAACCATCTCCCGCCCTTTCTCCTGCACCCTTCCACAGCTGACCGAGAGGGGCAGTGCCCAGCAAGCAGCCACTGCGGCGATCAGCCTCGCTCTGGTGCTGCCCAGTCTCGGCCTGCTTGTCCTTTTCCCCTGCCCCACTTGGGCAGGATGCCTTCAGCTACAAAGTGGGGTCACTCTCCTCATGAGCACCAGCACCTACAGCACTGTCAGCGCAAAAGCAGAGTCCCAAGCATTCCGTCACCTGGGGAAGGGAACTCACCCTGCCCGGCAGGGTTTCCGGTCCCGCGGAGACCCCACAGTGTGCTGTGCCGGCAGAAAGGACACCGTCCCTTCATAGTAGTGATGTGACAGGAAGGTCTTGACGCCTGGGGCGGAGTGCAGCCGAGAGGAAACAAAGGGTCACTGCAAGCCACCAGCGGAGCCCTCAAGCATACAGGAACCTCGGCCTTGAAGAGGGGAGGGGTTCTGGAGGGCAATGTCACAGCTGCCACCAGAAGGGAGCTGTAGGGACCTCACTCTGCCCACCTGAGGTCACTGCCTGCTATGTGAGTAATGGGGGCAGGCTTGGGTTCTTTCTGGCACTCCCTGGGGACAGGGACGGACATCAAGGCTGAGCTAGAATAGTCCAGCCAGGCCAGGGTTTCCCAGCTGTGCACTGGGATGCAGCCCTGCACAGGCCACAAGGGCCAGGAGAGGCAGCCGTGTGGCCGCCAGAGGGCGCAGCAGGCACACTCCAACAGGGGCTTGGCCACAACCCTGAGCCTGCAGGAGCAGCTCCTGGGATCTTAGGACCCCGTGGCTGAGGAAGGGGTTCACCAAGAGGCACCGAGCGAGTAAGGGACAGAGTACAAGCGAGAAAGGGACAAAGTACAAGCTCCCTTGGCCTGGAGGGCAGTTTTGGGGACAGCGGGGCTGGCCCCTCACCACTCTGCTGCCAGCTCCAAGGGATCAGGAGACTGGCGTCCCCACTGAAGCTCCTCCAGCTGTCGTCTCTAGACCTCCACCTCTGGGGACTCAGTGTAAACTGAGGCGTGGGTCCCAGGGATGGGATTTGGGAGACAGCACTGCCACCACCTGTGCAGGGGAGCAGGGCCTCTGTGGGTGAAGTCGGATAGCGCCTGCAATGCGGGTGCCGCCATCCATGCAGTGCGCTGTCCCAACTCACCTGAAAAGTCGTACCTGGCCAGCCCCATCCACCGCTTCTTCTCGCTGTCCTTGATCAAGTCCCCGTAGAAGCCGTAGCCCAGGAGGGATACGGAGTACCGCAGCAGTGTGCTGTTGTGGTGCACCGAAGACACATCCATGGCCAGCGAGTCCCCTGCGGGCAGTGCCACAGTGAGGGGCCACGCCAAGAGCACAGCAGTGGAAGCCCAGCAACCACCCACACCCTGGGCCTCTTTGATTTTGACTCCAGTGATAAAATGTGACTCAAATTTCCAAAAAATTCTTGGGAAGCTGCTCTTGGGGACATGACAGGACGGTATCGCAAGCCATGTGTGGGGGTGCATGCCTGTAATCCCAGCACTTGGGGAGGCTGAGGCAGGAGGACTGCTGTGACTTTGAGGCCAGCCTGAACTGCATAGCAAGACCCTGTCTCAAACAGCAACACAATTTAAACCTCTATGCAGCCACTTCTGAACATCACATTTCTGCAATGCCAGGCAGGACACGGTCCACTGTAAAGGGGGGTGACGGTTGGGCAGGTACTGGGACTCGAGAGCTTCCGCAGCCCCTCCTGTCACCCCTGGGGGCTGGGGTGTCTGTCGCCTCAGGGGTGGATCTCACCACAGCCTGGAAGCGCTGTCAGAAAGAAGGCTGACAGGAGTCGGCCAGGTACAGGTGACATGGCCAGGGCCACCATGCAGAGGACACAGGCTGCTTCCCACCCTCGGGGACAGCAGGCATCCAGCAGAGCCACCCAGTACACTTGGAGAGGGGGGCGATGCCAAAAGACAGAGTCCTCTGGGAAGTAACAGGGCAGGGGGTGGCACACCCTGGGGACACCCGGGGAGCCTGGGAGTGGGGGGTGGTAGCCGTCAGAAGGCCAGGGCTGCTGGGCTCAGCGCTGCCCGGACTCACCGACAATGATGTGCAGAGCCGACGTCTCCGCATCGTTTATGCCCACGGTGGAGTAGCACACGCAATCTGTCGACCCTGCAAGGAGGGGAGGACCTCAGGCCACTGAAGAGCTCGACACTGGAAAGGGCTCCCTGCTCAGTGAGGGCAGAGCAATACACAGCCGGGGGGGGGCACATCTGCGGTGCCAGCACTGGGGAGGTCGAGGCAGGAGGATCACTAATTCAAGCTCAGCACTGGCAACACATCGGCTTAGTGAGCCCCCGACCCAAAGCCACGAAAAGGCTGGGGACGCAGCCAGGTGCAGAGGGCCTGCACTCAACCCCAAGAACCGGACATACACATGGGATGAGCACTCCACCTACAGCACGAAGCCTGGGAGACGGAGACTGGCAGTGCCAAGTGTCCAGCAGCTCCGCGCAGAGCAGCCGCCCGCCCACAGCCTCTGGGCAGCGGAGCCCGAGAGACACTGCAGCGTGGGCAGCTGCTCCAGCTTTCTTTCTTTTTTCTTTTTCTTTTTTTTTGGCAGAACCAGGGGTTGAACTCAGGCCCTTGCGCTTGCCAGCGGAGCGCGTATTCCACTGAGCCATCTCCCCGGCCATGCTCCCCATCTTTCAAGGCCGGGCCAGGCATGCAACCCTCACCGCTCACAGGCCCAGCAACTGCACCCGACCACCCAGGGTTCTGGGGCCCCAGAGCATGTGCGAGGCCCTGGTTTGACCCCCATTACAGGAAAAGAAGAGAAGGAGCTAGGAACAGCAGCCTGCCCTCCAGAGCTGCTCCAGGGCTCTGTCAACGTATAAGTGGAAAGTGACTTCAAACTGACTTTTTCCGCCACAGCTGGAGATGCAGCCCAAAGCCTCACCAATGCCAGGCAAGCGCTGTCCCCGGAGCTCCACCCAGCCCCAGCCTAGGATCTGGACAGAGCCAGAGCAGGGCTGAGTGCAGTCAGTCAGGCTTTAGATGCGCTGTGCAGGCAGTCTGGCCACCAAGGAACCGCTGGCTCCCCGGCTTGTGCGCCACAGGCTGCTGCTGTACCTCTACCACGACCTCTGTCCCACCTCATCTCCCGGACTGTCAGGGCTGAGGTCACAGGGCTGCTCTTGCTGCCTCCATCATCCTCTTCTGACTCGAGGTCCCTGGCACGCCCCCAGAGCCACGGAGTGCAGAGATTCTCCTGGGGAGGGACCAACCTTCCCTCCTGCTCCTCTGGCCAATGCAGCAAGGGCCCTACAGCAGCCAGGCGCGGCAGGCCCTCACGTAGTCCTGCCCTGAGGGGCCCCCCGGGACGCCCCTCCACACTTGCTGCCCTGACCCGGGCGCCGAAGCCGCTCCCTGCTCCACTCTGCTCCAGCTATCCCCACCTGGGCCCTCTGATCCAGTGACACAGTGCTATCCCTTCTACTCCCCTAGATGGGGCGTCTGCCCTCAGGTTTGATGGCTTGGGATTTTAGGGTTTGGCACCACTACCTGCAAAGTTCTTGTACACAAGGTAAGAACCGTGCAGGAAGGATAATTAGAACACAGGAAAACTGAATCCATCCACCCAGAGGCCAGGTTAACAGATAACCTAATGAGATCTTCTGGGCAAGACCTAGTGGTGGGGTATGCCTCTGTCCCTCAGGAGGCTGAGGCAGAAGAATCACTGTAGCTACACAGTGAGTTCAAGGCCAGGCCAGCCTAGACTGCGTGCTGAGGCCCTGTCTCAAAAACAAACCAACCAACCCCTAACTTGGAAGAGAGCTGTAAAACAGAACTCACTACCAACTACCAGGCTAAGCGCTGACAACGTCCAAGGGTCAAAGAGAAGGAGGCAGCGCCCTCGCTGCCCAAGCTACTGAAGCCTGGATACAAACAAGCAGGCTGCAAGGGCAGCTGGGGCCCAGGGCAGGAGGAGAAACAGGAACAGCCGACAGCGCCCTGCAGGCTGGACGGAATCAAATACAGATGCGGCCAGACTGCTCCCGCACGCCTGAGGGACGAGGCCCGCACAGGGGAAGCACCTGGACCGAGACCCCAGGCCAGCAGCGTCTACGCAGAAGCCACCTCAGGCCTGGAGCCCCTGGGCGCGCGGGCCCCATGCCTGGGAGGGTGCCACCGAGGGTGCACTAGGGGCGTGTGGGGCAGCTAGTCGGCAGTGATGCCCACAGTCCTCCAGGGCCACCGCAGCTGGGACAGGGACAGGGACGGGCGTCGGGCACCTGCTCTAACACCTTAAGTGAACCACAGAGCTCCGGGGAGCCTGAGAGGTAGAGGCTCTGCTCCAAGCCCTGGGACAGTTCAATGCCCGTGGCTGCAACTGGAAGGGGTCTGCTCACGGGGAAAGTAAGTGCTTTTCCTGTACAAGCTGGCCCTGGTGCCACCAGCCAAGCTGTCCTCAGTCGGACTGGGTCCCCCTGAGTGCCTGCACTCACACAGGTCGGTGACATGGGTTCCTATGTAACTTCTCCATCAAAACTTTCCCCAAAGCAGTGGGACTTACATTATGGTCCTTCCCCATATAATTAAAACCATGAGCATTATCAGCTTTCAGCCCATAAATATTAGAGACTCACAGGCTATGATGCAAACAGAAATTCTCTTAAAAACGAGTCTCTGTCCTGAGATCAGCCCTGAGGCCACCACCCAGGCGGACAATACGACCAGCACCTTGATTCACAGGCTCTTTAATTAGATGGGGCTTTACAAGTAGAGTTTAGTTTTCAATTTTAAAAAATCTTTTATTTATTTATCTATTTGGTACAGGGTCTTACTAGGCAGCTTGAACTCACACTGATCCTCCTGTCTCAGCCTTTCCAGTGCCAGGATTACAGAAGTGCACCATCATGCCCGATTTCAGTGGCCGGCTCGGCACGGGTACTGGGGACTGAACCCAGGTTGGTGTGCTTGCCAGGCAGGCGCTTAGACCACCGAGCTATCTCCCCAGCCCCTGTGAGTGGAGTTTAAAGGGTGACGTCTCTATCCCGGAGGCTTGGTAAGAAGGTGGTCCAGCAGTGCCATGTCCCAGGGACGCTTCCTCCTCCTGTCCCTGTCCCTAACTGCCCACCTTGCCCTCACCACAGAGCTTCTGGTGTGCACCACCAGTGGGGACAGTCACAGACTCGACCATGGAAGGGTCAGCAAGCCGCGTCTGTGAGGTGGCCTGGCTGCCATGGCCAAGTCACAATGGGGTGGGGGGAGTCTGGGATGGGGGGAGTCTGGGGTGGGGGGCTCATTTGCAGATAGGGGCAGTAGTACACACGGTTAATGCTGAAATTGCACGAGAACCAGATACTTCTACAAGGATGGTAAATGCACCATCGGGACACAGCCCAGGCACCCACACAGCAGCAGGGTCCCACCAGAGTCCCCTGCCCTTTACTCTTCTCCCCCACCCACTCCCTTCCCCCAAGACCCTGTGCATGCAGCCCCAACCCCGATTCCTCAGGTCAGCAGAAGTCACCTCCCCCAAAGGCCACCCTGGCGCCAGCACCAGCCTAGCCCGGGACCAGGTGCTGCGCACACCAGGCCTGCAGTGCCAGCCCCCACGCAGCAACAACAGTCGCTTCTGCCCGTACACAGCTGGCGAGCAGGACATAGCTCCCGACAGTGACAAAACCCCAGTTTCTATAGAGCAAGGAAGCAGGAGAAGCGAGTAGCCTGACAACAGGAAACCTGCCCCAGGAGGCTGAGCCTGCGCAAGAGGGTGGACGGGGAGCGGCCGCTCCTTACCTGCGGGGATGATGCCAATCCTGAGGGCGCAGGGCGCCAGCGTGGCCCGGGGGTGGTTCTGGTCCACACCTGCGTTCCTCTGTGTCCTGCCGATGAGGCCGTGCAGCACCTCGCTGAACATCCCGTCGCCACCGACACAGACGAGGCTGCAAAGAGCACAGGGAGCTTGGCACGGGGCAGCTGGGGCTGGAGCATCAGGGGCAGTTTGCGAGGTTGGCCAAGCAGGCCTCTGAGGATGTGGCTCTCTAGAAGTGACAAGGTCACTCGGACTGCCTCCCCCGCTCTCCTGCAGGGAATGGGTCATCAGAGCTTCCCAGGCAGAGCATTTGTACCTGATAGTCCCCGCCAGCTCCATCAAAATCTAAAACAGGCTGGAGTGCGGCTCAGGATGAGGCCCTAGCCCAACACGCACCCGGCCCCAGGTCCCATCCTCAGCACTGCAAAAATTAAGATGATAAAAACTAAAACTGAACTCCTAGCCGTGTAGAAGCAGAAATGCTAGACCTGTGCTGCGCCATTCTTGCCACGGGAGCGAAGGCAGACAGCATGAGCTGGAGCCCAGGCCAAGCCAAGAGCACCACGTACCCCGCAGGGCTCAGGCTCAGCTGACACCACCACAAGGGGGCTGGGCGCGGCCACGGCTGGAAGGGAAGGCCTGCCTGAGCCCATGCCCCCCTGGACTTAGGGAACTGCAGTCAGCACGCCAGGCTGCCCTCTAGTGTGTCCTGTGCACCCACCACCAGGGCACAGGACCATGGCTCAGGTCCTTGAGGGGGCAGTGGTGCCTGCCACACCTGTGGTGGGCTCAGTGACGCTCATGGCTCACATCCAGGCCCCAGCCAAAGCACAGTGGCTGCTGGGTGCTCCAGCTCCCACCAGCGCCAGTGCAGCTCGCGGGACATCCCCAGTACAGGGTGAGTCCGCGGGCTGGGGCCTAGCTGTGCTCTCCTGCAGAACTCGGCAGGGAGGCAGGAGGGGGCTCAGTGGCTGCCTGTTCGTTCCCTCTCTAAGCTCAGCAGCCGCAGCGGCTGCCAGGGGCTGGCAGACCTCCAAGGCCCACAGAATGAACCATGACACTCCGGAGCTCATACGCTACGTGTAACACGTCGCCTGTGAGTCCTAAGATCCAAAAGAGATGGAAGCACGGGGCCCACTGGCCACAACAACACACCTGACGTCAGGGCAGCTTAGAGATGGACAGGCGTGACACAGTGCATAAACCTGGAAACTAACACCGCAGGGAGAATTAAAAACCAGGAAAAAGATTTGCAAAAATTATGGCAACAGGCTTCAAATTGCCTATGACTGTTGCATAAGCACAGGGCCCCGAGTTCAGTTTCTGATACCAAAAGAGAAAAGAAAAAAAAAAGAATGACTAACTTATATGGCAAAAGAAAACACACCAAGAACGTAAGAGTCAATTCAAGGCAGAAAATGAGTTTACTAGTGAACATTTCTTTGAAAATCAAAGATTTTTACATATTGAATTAAGCAGGGAATTTTGATAGCAATCCCAGAACAGTGGCACCGACAGCAGACAATCAGCATGAGCAGGAACGCAGCTGGAGGGCCCGGGCCTCAGCCCGCCGGGCGGCGCGCACCAGCGCGGAGAAAACCCAACTAGCTTCCCAGTCGCGATCGCAGAGATTTACGTACAAGCGGGCTTGTCTTCAAATAAAAATTGGAGGGCTGGGGAGATAGCCTGGTGGTCTAAGCGCCTGCCTGGCAAGTGCAAGGACCCGGGCTCAATCCCTGGTACCACATGCCGTGCCAGCCACCAAAACCAGACGTGGTGGCTTGTGCCTGTAATCCCTGCACTGGAGAGGCTGAGACAGGAGGATCACTACAAGTCCAATATATATATATGGTGTACATATACACATCCTATATAGATATAAATATACGGATATATGTATGGTATATATGGTGTATATATGTATACACACATACCATATATACATATATCTGTATATCTATATCTATATATACGTATTTTTTTTTTTTAAAAGAAAAACTGCTAAGAACCTCAACATGCACAGTGAGTACTACGAAATGGGTTAAACGTTACACAGCCTCCAAATCATAGGGCACAATAGAAAGCAGGATTTGGGGAAAATATTTGACTGGGGAAACTGTTGGAAATCTGACAGAAAGGCAGGGCCTAAAACCCTACAAGTGACACGACTCAACTTTGTGTCACCTGCTCTGGGTTTTCCCCCACACCCACACAGAGCCACAGGAAGCAGTCTTGCAGGAAAGGGAAAAGGCGGCTACTGCCCAGCAGGCAGAAGCTGGGGCCCAAAGTGCCCGCTGTGGCTCCGCCGCACAGCCATCAAGCCAAGGGCAGAGCGCGAGGACACGGGCAGGCTCACTGACTCACCCGTCGTACTTGTCCAGGCTGATCTCATAGAGAGTCTCCTTGGCTTGGTTCGCATGCTCAGTGACTGCGGGGAAACAAGAGACCCTGTGCGCTCTGTCCACGCTGCGGCACCTCAAGGGATACCGACACCGCTGCTCGGCAACAGGCCCGAGGCCCCGGGGTCATTCTGGAAGGGCACGCTGGACACGAGCAGCTTCCTCCACAGCAACTATGGCGCCCGCACGGCACCTTTCCCTTATTCTGCAGCTTACTTTCCAAATTTCAGAAAGTATCGAGATGCAGCCTGCAGTCGGGTCCCTGCACCCAGTAGGACAAAGCCCTCCTGACTGTCCTCTGCACATGATTCCGGGCCGCCTTTCCCACGGCGCTGCAGCCGCATGGCACCCTTCAGATGCCCCGGCAGGTGTTTGGCTGGCTCGCAGCCTGGCAGGGACAGGTCTGTGTTCCTCAGGCTTAGGGACAGTAACTATTTCTAGGAATGATTTAGAAAACACAACATTGTAGGTAAAATGTTTTAGGCTCTCTACCTGCGTGGTCAGTGGTCAGTGGCTTTTTAATCAAATTACACGAAACCCTGCCTGGCCCTGCAACGTGGCACTGTGAGCAGGGGTGAGGGCTTTGCTAGGGTTCTTAAAGCGCCACTAGGGGCAGGGGGCGGTTTCAAGGCCCGGCCAGGGCCTTTGCCTCTCTCTCTGCTGGGAAGAACTGGGAAGGCTCTGTATCTTACCTTTGTCCTTTTACCTTCTTAGAATGTTGCTTCACTACTTTATATGCTAAGGCCTAGCTACCAGTAGGAAGACGGCATCATTTATTCTGCATTTTTCCCATTCTGGTAGGTAAAAAATCCTGCTATGTTTAACATAATCTTGGAGGATCAGATTCTTCTGTAATATACAAAATCTTCATGCATACATATGTTTGGTTTTAAGACAGGGTCTCGCTATGTGGCCCAGGCTGGCCTGGAACTCACGGTGATCCCCCTGCCTCGGCCTCCTGAGGGCGGGCATCACAGGCGTGCGCCGCCACGCCCGGCTTTCTGGGGACCATGTTTAAGTCCTCTCAGGTTTGCTTCTAGGGAGGCCTTACCGATGATGTCGGTGGAAATGGAAGCCAGAGAGAAGAGAGGCGCCACTTTCCTCTCGTAGATCCGCTTGCCTTGGCCCTTCCCGCCGAAGGGGTTGATGAACACCAGCAAGTGCCTCGGTCTGCACGCTGTGAACAACCACATGGGCAGACGGCAGTGAGCACCAGCGAGCCAGGAGTGGGACTGCACCCCGGACGGGGCCGCACCTCGAGGGCTTCACGAGGCCCTGTGCTAGGTGTCGAAGCACCGCGGCGAGGAGCTTCCCGCTCTGCGGGGTCTGGAGACAGCAGGTCCTCATACACCGCGGGCGGAAGGAAGGCCTGGGCTTCCGGCGAGGACACGGCTGTCCCAGGCCTGAGGTGTGGGCCTGTGTGGCTGGGGCCCTGCTCGAGAGATGGACGAGCTTTGGGGGAGCAGGAGGTGTGAACCAGGTCCAGAAAGGAGCTGGGGAGAGAGGCCCGATGCAGGCAGAAGCAGAAGCAGGGAGGGGAGGGGAGGGAGGGGAGGGAGAGGAGGGGAAGGACTTTGGCCTTGGCCCTTGTCCCTTCAGAGCCCCCCAGAGCTCTTGCCAGGGTTGCCTGAGGCCCCATCTTAGGACAATTCCCACATTTCCATTTTGTTCAGTTCAATTAGATTCTGCCACTTAAACAACTGCCACCTCTTTATCCTGCCCTAAATTTAACAAATCAGAAGTAGCAAGAGAGCTGAAAACACGTGTCCACGCCAGCTCCCAGAGCCACGGTCCACCCCGGCACAGGCATCTGCCCAGCTAGTGTGCGCAAAGGCAGGACGTGGCCATGACAGGGACAGAGGACAGAGGACGGCATAAGCCACCAGCAGGGAACGTGCCCGACTCTGAACTGGGCTGAGCCCCGGGCTCAGGCCCAAAGGCTGCCCCCAGCTGAGGTCTGGCACCAGTGCAGTGGCCTGATGTGCTGGGAGGCAGAAACAACCTGGACCGTTAGTGGACAGAGGGAGGGGCGGCTGGGCCACACCAAGGCACTGGGCATGTCCACGCATGAGCGCACAACATTTTTGTGTTTTGTGGCATTCATGGTGAACACTGGGAAAGTTTATAAGAGAAAGATAACTACAGTTGAAAACCATGTTTTCAAAAACATTGCCAAGGGCCTGCCTGATAGCTCAGTGGACTAAAGCGCCTGCTTAGGCAGAGCTCAGCAGCTGGGTTTTAATCCTTGGCGTGCTGGACTGGCCCTGCCCCGGGGCGCGCTGAGCCCGCAATTGAGACTGGGCGTGGTGGTGCGCCCCTGTAATCCCAGCACTTAGAAGGCTGAAAACAGGAGAATCACTACAAGTCTGATCTACATAGTGAGACACTGTAGACCCTGTACTAAATACATAAATAATAAATACAACACTGACATAGGGCCAGGGAGATAGCTCAGTGGCATAAGCACCTGCCTGGCAAGTGCAAGATCATGAGTTCAATCCCCAGTACTGCCAAAAAAAATAATGTAATTGCTATAACCCTAAAAACTGATAGCGAAAAAGGGAAAAACACAAGTCATCCATCATGGGGAAAGAAGGGGAGACTGCTGAGGGATCTACAGACATTAGAAAAAAATGAAGCGCCCTCATCAGTTTGAGTGGTAAACCGTCTACGATGAGCCCCTTCTCACAAGCCACAATCTGCCCAGGCTGTCTATCCAGCCGGGCGTGCTGGTGCAAGAGGACCACCGCGAGTGTGGGCCAGCCTGGGCTACGGCGAGCTCAAGGCCAGCCGGAGCTGCGCAGGGAGAGCCTATCTCAAGACAAAAACCAAAAATCTGACTATCTAATAAAGAACACAAGACCATTAACGAAACCTTCCCACCGAGAAAGCCCAGGCTGCGGTGGGTTCACCGTGGAGTCCTGCCAGCCTGGAGGAAGAGCCACCACAAGGCCCTGCGCCTCCTCCAGGACGGGACACTGGGGCCGCTGGACCAGAGAGCAAAGCGGACAAGGACGCCCCCAGCCCCAGCCCGTGTCCCCCCGGCCAGGTGGTGTTGGGATGGACTTCCAGGGCCACACAGCGGGCTTTCTCTGAGTGCTGAGGGCTAGCTCAGAGCACACTCCGTCTCCCTCAGCCTGAAAGACATAAGAGGAGGAAACCCACTCAGCACCCAGCACCCACAGAGGTCTAGAAGACTAGGGTTAGCAGGGGATTTTACTGGTGTGGGGGTTTTGCTGTTGTTTTGTTGTTTGACAGGGTCTTGCTATATCAGCCAGCCTGGTCTAAACCACATAGCAAACTCACTAGGTAGCCTAGGCAGGCCTCAAACTCATGGCAATCCTCCTGCCTCAGCCTCCCCAGCACTGGGATTACGGGCGTGCATCACCACATTCAGCCTCTAAATTACGTCAGAAAAACCTAAAAGCACTCTTTCTTCCCCTTCAGTCCTAGGGATGGAACGCAGGGGCTCGGTGTGCTGGACAAGTGCTCACCCCCGAGCTACATGCTGTTTTATTTTGAAGACAGGCTCTTCCTGTGCTTCCCTGGCTGGCAACATGGACTCACAATCCTCCTGCCTCAGCCTCCCAAGAGTAAGATACACAACCATATGGCAGGATGCCGGAAACTTAGCTCCTGAGTCAGGATTAAGGTAAGTGTGCGTGGTCACATTGCTGGTCCCTGCCTGGGCACAAATGAAGACAAAGGAAGAACAGCTGAGGCACAGGAAACACAGCTGTCACCATGCCCATCCAGCTCAACTGTGGCCAGCAGAACTCGAGAACCACCTGGGAAGCAAAGTCACAGCCTGCAGTGCAGCGTTCTGTTAAACTTCCATATCCAAGCAAGAAAGCAAAACCCAACGGGGAGGGGGGTGGTCCTTCCCAGCAGAGCTCTCCAGGGAAAGTGACCCCTGACCACGTCCCTGGTCCAGGCACAAACACCAGCTCCAGCAGGACCACGGGCTGGGCGTAAGAGGGCACCACAGAGCCTGACAGGCGCTCATCTCTGAGACCCCGCAGCAGGCCAGGGCACCAAAGGGGACGCGACCTTACGGTTTGAAGAGTAAAAAGAGAAGTGTTTCAACTAAGAATTCTGCGCACCCAGAGATGGAAGGCCAGCATGCTGGCACGCGCCTGGAGCCCTGACTCCTGGGGAGTTGGGGCGGGCGGGGCACAGAGGCCACTCAGCAAGACCTGGGCCCAGGATGGAAAATGCGTAGCTGCGGGTGGGGCTGAGCGGCATGCACTGGCCTTGGGTTCAGTTCCTAGTACAGGGAAAAAAAGGGGTGAGAGAGAGAAAGAGAGAGAGAAGAACACAGGACAGAAAAGGCAAGCCACAGAAGGGAGAAGGCATCTGTAATGTAGAAGCTCAATCAAAAGATTCGGATATACAACGTGTACAATTTCCACCATCATTAAGGAAGTAGATAATCAGACAACAATGCGCACAAAGACTTGAACAGAAACCCCAGGAAGGAAGTCGCCCAATGAGCCACAAAGGCTGGGCGCACGCCGGATTTCACCAGCCAGCAAAGCAGCTGCCCCTCACCAGGGTCTGGGCAGTCAGCGACGAGGTCACCCTCGATGTGGAGCAATCGGGATGCACGGCCCACTCTGGGACGCGCACGGTGCCTGCTGCCGCTGGCGGTCCGCACGCTGCATACCAGCCCTGCCAGCCGGGGGACACACACCCCAGAGAAGCCCGAGTGTGCACGTGCTGGTACCGTCCCAGCACCGCTGCCAGCCCACAAGCGCTTCTCTGGGTGACCGTCTACATGACCTGGGTCACAGCTGTGAGAGTGACAACCTAAGCCATGTGGGGCTGGTGAGCTGGACACAATTCACACAATGCCTGGCACAGGGTGAGAGCCAGGGCTATCAGTCCTCAGCCTGCTTGGACGCGTGGGTCGTGGGGTCCTTTGGGGAGCAACGACCTCGGGGTGGCGGGGGCCTCGGACGCCAGCCCAGGTCTGGGTGCCGTCGTGGGGGTGTGCGCTCAGGGTGACACTAGCCAGCCACTCTCGGGACAGAAGCGCTCCTCTGCATCTGTGTTTTACTTCAGTGGCACGTGAGAACACAGATTAGACAGAGCTGAAAGTCAGAGAAGCTGAAATAAGAGAATCAGATGCTATTTTTAGATACCAGCGACTACTACAGACCGATGGGTACGCCCATGAACCAGAAGTGATGAACCCACCTCTTCCAAGGGCGGCCGTAGACAGAATCCAAAGCAGGGCCCTACAGACTCCAAACCTCACGGGGACGGTGGGTGCACAGGGAGGGAGGGAGAGCGAGGGTGAGGGTGGGCAGGAGGAGCTGCCCAGGGAGCAAGGGAGAAGCTGGGATGCTTCAGCAGAAGCGCTGCGGCAGGAACGGCAGGTGAACCTGCAGAGCAGCAGTGGTGGACCCCAGGCCCCATGGGACGGAAGAGAAGCGCCAACACCAGCCCCCAGCCCGCACTCCCTGGAGCTGACAGACGGGGAGCCCTCCCTCAGATACTTCTGAAGCGCTATCTGGAGGCACCCAGAGGCCAGCCCAGCACTGAGCCCACCACCCTGTCCTAGGGCTCTAACCATATAGCGTGACACAGAGCCCCAGGTACAAAACCACAGCCTGCGCAGCCTGCTTCGGGGGGCGGGGGAGGGCTTGCCAATTAGCACAGGGCACGGGTGGAAGCAATCTCACCACTCAGCTGAACCTGTTCCACGGCTCAAGGGGCAGAGGCCTGCCTGGGACTGCTGCTGGGGCTGGGGCTCCCCTCGTGCCCAGCTGTATGCTACCCATCAATTAGGACATTATTATGTATATTTTGGGGGGTTTTTTGAGACAGACTCCCACTTTGTAGTGTCCAGGCTGGCCTTGAACTCATTATGGACCCAGGCTGGCCTTGAATTTACAGCAATCCTCTTGTCTCAGCCTCCCAAGAGCTGGGATTATAAGTGTGCATTACCACACCCAGCTTAGTTCAGAAATTAACGAACTTCATTCAAAAACAAGCAAGAGGGACAAGGGATTTGTCTCAGACCCTGCCCCTGAGGATGTGGAAGGCACGTACTCAGCCCAGCCAGCAGCTCCCGCAGCGTCTGCAGCCACCGGTGACACAGCTGCTCGTCCGAGCTCCAGAAGGTCACTTGCGCCCACTTCCAGCGGTGATGCCGGGCACGCTTCACACAGTGCACTGTGAGGAGGAGACTGCGTCAGTAAGGGTTGGGGTCACAGCTATGCACTACCATGCCTGCCCGAGCTCCCGCCCACAAAACCATGCTGTTTCTCAGCTCCTTTAGGCCATATTTGAAAAATAAAGAAAAAAGACAATCAGCAAACAAAAACACTAACTGAAAGTAGAGCTTAGAAAAATGGCCTTAGGAAAATTTTATAGAAGTAAACCAAACTGCTGAGCCTATCAAAGCATGACAGAAAGTCTTGGTCTCTGCCGCCTAGACCAAGCTATGGGGAAAGCGGGGGTGGCACTGTCACCTGTGAACGCGAATGGCGTCTCCATCCTCTGCCACCGGCCGCTGGTGTGGTGCTTCCCCTGTGCCTTGGCCTCCTCCACCGCGATGATCTCGGACACGGGCACGG